ATGGCCGACACCCTTCTGTCTGGTTCTGGGTGCCAGGCTCTCCTCTGAGTGCTTTCTACCCAGTCGTTCACTTAATCCTCACCACACAGGTCTTTAATAAATGATGAATGAATGGGAAATAGAGGAGGCTGTATTTTCACTGGCACCTCAGGAAGAAATGGGCAATGTGTCCAGGAACATACCAGCTCCTCCCCTCAGAGCCTGAAAATATGAGTGTGGAAAGCGCTCACAGATGTTCTGGGGAAAACAGCACTCATTTGGGTAAATTCTTAGTGTTGCGTCTTACATGAAGCTGGCGTTCAGTCACTGAGTGTGATACTCAATTTACCTTAGTACTGTTGTTACTCAAGGTGAACTGCCAGGGAGGATTGGATAGATTCTAACCGTTACCCCAAACCTTGTGTGTTCTGTTGTAGCAATTTCTTGAAATAAAAGTGATTCTGGGGTTCGTTGGGAAATTTTTAGTGAGGTAAATTTCAACTGATGGTGACAGTGTTTTTTTGTTTTGTTTAGTTTTGAACCGTTGGATTTCTCAGCAGTCCTACGATGCTAATGCATCATGGGACATACAACTCTACTATGTTTCCATTACATAACCAGTGTAATGTACCAATGTATTACCAGTGATATACATAACCAGTGTAATGTACCAATGTATTACCAGTGATATACCAGCCCTTTCCTGTAGAGCTGGAAAACATAAACTTAAGAAGTTTTTGGGGGGAGAGAAGGAAGGGGAAGAAAGGAAATGCCCTAGTCTCTACTATGTTAGCACCACTTTGAGGAATTTTACCAGTTCAGCAAAGTATTTATTTAGCGGTGTCAGAGATTTCAGGGCGTCCTCACTCACTGAATTTATGTTCAAAACAGAGTTCATTTATTAGCTGGTACTTTTATGAATGCCCATCATTAGATTAATTAATAAGCCAAAGGCTATCAAATGCCTTTTCCTATATGAGCCTTAAGTCTTCCCTAGTACTTCTTACTTAAAGCTAATTGTTTGAGCACCCCTGTTTCTCCCAAAAAAGAAAACAAAACCAGCTATCATTTAATTGATACCCAGATTTTACAAAACTGGGATTAATATTGTTTATGCTTACTTTACGCATTTAAGAATCTGATTTAAATACGTATTACCATTGTTGTTTCCTATGTAATTAATAGTGTTTCTGGTGAACCTGTGATTCAGTCATTTGCCTGACACGAGTTTGTTACAATTGTGATTCACAAGTGCCCTGTCTTTAGGAATATAGATTGCTTGATCCAGGAAAAATGTGAGCAGTAATATATTCATACAATCAAATATGAAAATAAAAGCATTTCAATGACAACAAGAAAAATATGAGATTTCCTTGAATTGCGTTCGTAATGAATTGCTGTTAAATATTGAATATATTGGTGTTAAGGTCAAAATGTATAAAATATATTAATTTCCCCTTTCATTTATTTAATTATTATTTAATTTTATTCAGGTAGCTACTGCGTATAGCCCCAGCTTCAAAAAATTTTCTTATTGTTGAGCAGAATTTCTGTTATAAGTGGTGGCTAGAGCCGCAAGATAATTCCCAGCTCCATTTAATCGGAAATTTGATCGAATAGCATGGTGATAGTAACTTAAAAAGGCCCTGGATCAAGCGTAGAAAAGCTGGGACAAGTGAGTCTTTTGTCCTTGGCGTGTGGCCCCCTGCTTTGGTATGTTTTGCTCCGACAGTGAGTTACTGGCTCCCAGCGTTCGGCGTTACCCTTTTGCCCTGAGGTTGAACGCGGTGCCTGTGCCTGTGTTTGCACCCTGACTCCCAGTTCCCGGCTGGTTCGTTTCTCTCTGAAAGAGCCGCTTCCCTTAGGCCTGGGCTCGGGTCTCCAGTCTGTAGAGTATGAGGCTGGGCCGCACCCGTGCGTTTCAGGCCCTCTTCTCTTGCGGCAGACAAGCTCCACACCCCTCCCATTCCACAGCCTTGGCCGCCGTGGCCTGTTGATAGCGTTTAATCATGGGACTCTCATCCCCATCTATGGGGAAAAATGCGAAGCTTTCTCAAGCATGGCATCTGTTCTCGTACAAAGAGATATTTAGCTGATACTGAATTTTATATGCATTAACTTTAACATCATTTCATTGTCTGCAAAGAACACAAGTGATGGTGGGGAGATAAAAAGCCACGTTTAAAAAACTATGTTTGAGGGAGTTCCCTGGCGGTCCAGTGGTTAGGACTCCGTGCTTCCACTGCAGGGGACCGGGGTTCAGTCCCTGGTCGGGGAACTAAGATCCTGCAAGCCGTGCAGCGTGGCCAAAAACAAACAAAGAGTGTTAGACTTATTTTTCTATTGTGCATGACACCTACTACAATGACTTTTTAGGTAGTAGAATTTACATTTGGAATTGGGGGTGTCTTATTCACCTTGATATTTCCTGTCCCTAACAGAGTGTCTGACATAGCAGATACTTAATAAGTATTTCTAAAGTAGAATTGAATTCTTAAGAATGAAAGCGTTTCTTCTTTTCTCTTTACACACAGACTTTATTGGTTCTTAGCTTAACAAAGCCACGTAATTCTGCTCTTTGTGGGTCTAAGTGAGCGTAGATGAATAGATTGTGGACTGTCTGTTCACACTCCACAACCTGTTTAGAGCTTTAGAGCTCGAAGGCTCCTGTGCTTTCCCCACGGTGCATTTAGTCAGGAAAGACGACCAGTTGATGGACACTGTCCTGCGAGACTTGAGTAAATAACTGTCTGGTGAGTAAAACTTCATCAGATGGGTACATCTTTATTTGACATATTCAAGTTAAGTTTTAAAAATCACACTGTGTGGCACATGTCGACCTGAGTCATCTCTATAAAAGATAATCAATAGCAATCAGTTTATTGTTCTGTAAGTACATGTATCGACTGATGCCTTTTAAAGTCGCTGAGCTACGGAGTCTTGGTTCTTCAGTTGCCTTCTGTGGTGAGTGACTGCATTCAACGAAACGTAGCCAAGATGAGGAAGGGTGTTTATCCTAGCTTTGAACCCATTGTTTTAATATCTGACATGTATCACTCAGCTACAAGTAAAATACAGCTCGGCAAACTTTTGTCTTCAGACTGTTCGTGAAGAAATCCTGGAAGTATTTCGCTATTCTACATTGTGAATTAAAATATATAAATGCTCAAATTTGGGGGTTTTCGCCTATCTCTTCCTTGCAGGGAAATTGTTATTTTCCCAGTTTTATCTGTTTCAAATCATCTTCAATTATCAGTTAAGAAAACATTCATAGTGAGATATACATCATTCTTGCAGTGATTTCACACATTTGAGTAAACATCTCACTTCTCTGAGCTTCTCCAACATGTGCCTTTTTATCTGTTTATCTAGCATCTGTTTATATGCCCCCCAATAAATTTACGTTTAAATCTTTTCTTTGTATACTTTGTCTCCCGTGATGTTAAAAATATTATTTCTATGCAGACTATATTAAATGGGTTTTTTTCTGAAGGGGTATAATTTTACTTTTTAAATTTTTTTAATTTAATTTTTTTATTTTTTATGCAATTTAAAGGTTGCTTTCCATTTACAGTTATTACAAAATATAGGCTATATTCCCCACATTGTACAGTACATCCTTGAGCCCATCCCATACCCACCCCTCTCCTCCACCCGCCACTGGCAGCCACTAGTCACTAATTGTTCTCTGTATCTGTGAGTCTGCTGCTTTCTTGTTATATTCACTACTCTGTTATACTTTTATAGATTCCACATGTAGGTGATGTCACACTGCATTTGCCCTTCTCTGTCTGACTTATTTCACCTAGCGCAATGCCTTCCGAGTCCATCCGTGTGTTCAGTACTATTAAGTGTCGTAATCTGTTTATTGAGTCAGGTCTGAATGGCTGTGGGTGTCAGGAACCTGCATCACGTCCCCTGTGGGACTTACTCTAAACTGTGAAGTGGCATCTTGGTTTTGGAAGGGGAGGAGGGATGAGGGTCCCAGGAGAGAAGGCAGTATTGCCAAGGCAAGCTCTTCCTTAAGTTTGATTTTAACAGTTAGTCTTTATTATTTATTATTCAGCAGCCAAATCGGATCAGTATGCCAGCAGGAAAGAAAGATATTATCAGTGTGCAGGGCGTCAGTTAGCATATATTTTGAAATGTCAGGTTTATTATTGGCCAGTAGTGTCTTCTAAGTGTGATGCTATAGATACATAGTGCCCTTTTTGAATTCAAAAGAATTGCTAATAACTTATGAGTGTAAGATTTTAAGGGCAGCGTTTTCTTAGCATCTCATTCACTAACTAGCACATAGTAAGAGGAAGAGGGCTCAGTAAATATTTGTTGAATGGGTGAATGTTTCCTTTTTCAGTGCATTTTCTCTGCTGTATGGGGGGTGATAGAAGCACTTGGGGGATGCTGAGGGAATCTGTCCACTAGACGCAATTTTTATTTGGAGTTTAAACGTGAACAAGTAGTATCTACGTGTCTGTGATAGGTAAATGTTGTCCATAACCTTCTCGACTCTGCGTTCTCCGAGAGCATACTTTCCTGTTTTCTCCGTAGTGCCTGTGTAGTTACTTGTATAACAATACACTTTGTTCTAAGATGCTCATCTTTTTAACCTTTAAACATCATTTGGGCATACATGAACCTCAAATCTGTTTTCTTATTTAAGCTGTCTCTTGCCACAAAGTTGCACTTTGCTGGCTAACAAATAGTAGAAGACTAATTTGCTCATTGGTGTATAATTTGAAAGTTGTAGCTCATTGAATTCAGTGCTCACCAGGTTAATCTTAACCGCCAAACCCACCTACTTAAGCGTTGAATTTAGTATGATTTAAGGCTCATTGAATGCCCATAAACTTTACAAATTGATTTTGTGATTTTTGGTAAATAGGACAGTATTTAGTCATGGTGAATTTAAAAAATGAAGGACCTTTCCTGGCCTGGAGTAGAGTGTGACACAGTTTGTAGATGCCTGCTTGGCGTTCTCGGTTCCAGCTGTAACGCAGCTTCTCCTGATCCTTCCCCAGCTTCCTGCAGATTTCACAAAGCTACACCTCACCGACAGTCTCCACCCACAGGTGACTCACGTCTCCTCCAGCCACTCAGGATGTAGCATCACCAGTGATTCTGGAAGCAGCAGTCTTTCTGATATCTACCAGGTAGGAAGGTGTTTTCCTTGTCATTCGCTTCATTTTCATGTATTCTGAGGAGTTCTCTGATTTTTCATGGATAGAATCTTAAAGGTAAATATGTGTGTGTGTATTATATGTGCACACATGGACATAAAATGGTAATGTTTATGCTTCACACAGACATGTAGTATGTTGTATGTTTGTTTTAGGAAGTCGAACGACAGTCTAAATGCATTTGCCTCTGCTATTACCAGTTACCAGAATTTTAAATGGAGTGGTTACAATGGAAATGTGTCCCCGGACTGTAAATGTATTTGCCTGTAGGTGTACTAGGTTGATGACCCTTTCTTGAACAAAATTGTAGGGGAAGACTTCAGAATTATGCTTCCATACTAAGTTTTTCTTAATAAGGTCTTGGGTGTGACAAAAGGAAGAGATTATTAAGATTCGATCGCTGAATTATTTTTCTTGCATTATTTTTATTACCTGTAGACTTACATGTTTCAAATAAATTCTTATGATAGTGATGGAGAGAAAAACTAGAATTATGGAATTTCAAAAATGTTTTTAAAGCAAAATAATTGTAATTGTTAAGGAATAGTTCATTGGCTTAGAAAATGCAGATTTAGGAAAAGTGACTGGAATATGCAAAAAAAGGTCCTTTTTTTTTGTTACAGCTAATACGGGATTTCAGATGGTTTCAAACAAAAAGAATGTATAATACTCACTTTGCAAAGTATAATTCTAGGCTCCTTAGGAATCGTGATAGGAGATGGCCGCGATAAAACCTTTCTCTAACAATATTACAGCGTTTCAGGATCATTGATACATTCAGGCAGCGCTCAGTTTCTGTTTTTTTAAAAAATTACTAAAAGTATCTAAACAGAATACCATCAGGGCAAAACATGTCTGTTTAAGTCCTAAATTTAGTAGATCTTAGAAAGTTAATTTTCTTTTCAGGAGGCATTAGGTACCCACTTTTCTATAATTCAGAGGTGTTGTGGAGAGCTCACTGGCTAATAAGTGATAGCCACAAATGCAATTATTTGCAGATTCTCAGCTGATTAAGAACTTTTTTTTATTATTTTGCAAAAAGAAACATAATGATCTGGCTCTTTAAAGTAACTTTTCAAGTTTGTACTTTGAGGCATTAAATGTTAACTTGTAATTAAATCTTTAGGAAGTAGTCCCATTTTCAAATGTTAGAGGAGGAAAAGGTGGTGGATCAGGGTAAAATTATTCCCCCCCCCTTGCATAATGCCTGTTTTTAGAAGTTGATTTTTTGAACATTTATTCAAGAGTATCCCTTATAATAGAACAATGAACAGTAGAAGTAAAAGTTGTGCTTTAGCTTCTGTTAATTGAAACATCATGATAGAGCCTTTGTCTTCTACACTTTGAGATGATCACGTGCCTTAAAGACCTGTAGTAGGAACACAGCTTGAGGTTGTAGCAGTTACCCCTGCTGTTCTTCGGGTGTAATTCCAGGCTGAATGGAGCCTCCTGGAAGGTAAATTTATAATAAGAATGAAGTGAGTCGTTTGTATACTTTATGGAGGCGTATTCTGAGGGAAACTTCAGCTTTATGTGTTAATACCTTGGGTAGGTTGGGGAAGGGTGTGAGGAGATTCTTGATGGTACTTTGGCTGTCCCCAGCCCCCATCAGGGTGTCTGAGGATCCAGACCGTGGTGAGAACTCCACCTAGTTCTGTGGGGGTTGGTGTTTGCAGCCTGCAGTCCGGCTTTAGCTTGGGGTGTAGTTGGAAAAGAGGACCCCTGCGTATTTTGATTCATTTTAGTTGAGTTTCACAGCTGTCCATTTCAAACTTGATGACAGGCATGTAGCCTGGTAAGTTTGTATCCTTCCTAAGGAAAAATCCATAGATGTAACTAAGGATTTGGTTACTGACTGTAGGACTAACATTGACTAGAGATCCCCTATTGTCTTTAAATCAGAAATTCTAAAGGTGAAAAGAAATCTGCCAGATGCGCCTGGTTTGGCGACCAGTCTTGTGTTTGAATCCTCTACTCTCTTCCTGTCAGTCAGGTTGATTCTTGAGCAGCTCCAGTGATGGGCAGCTGTCTCCCATGGCGACCCCTTTCTCGTGCATCCAGTTCTGACTTCGAGGAAGCTGTCACGTTGGAGCAAGTATAAATGCTCAGGAGACGGGTACAAAGAGGTTGTCATGGAATGCCATGTGCCGGAGAGAAAAAGTTTGAATAATTTTTCTGAGAGAGTTGGAGGAGAGGAATTCAAGAGCAAAGTGGAATCACTAGCTTATTTAAGAAAAGAAACCTCCTCTCTTTTAACAGGGGCATATGATGGTGGATTTGGAGTGGGGAGTTTGGGAGTTGAGCGAGTTTCTGCCTGGTGTCTCTGGGTTCCTTCTTTCAGAGTGAGAGGGTTGGCAGGTGGAGAGTCTCAAGGAGAGACACATTTTGGAATCATAGTTTTGGAGAGAAGGGGAGCAAATTGACCAGAGCATCGGAGGCTCAGCTGGGTAGGTGCCCCCAAATACAGAGTGATTTCCCTCTGCCCTGGTAAGTAGTTTTCTCCACAGTGAGCACAAAGAAAGCAAAGATTCGGCTTCCCCCGGGACCGCCTCTTTATTCAAGGAGTGTAGTGGAAAGACAGACGGAGCAGCACAGCCGCCAGGCTCCTTGTAACGCAGGGCTTTGTTTTTGCAGGCCTTCTGTCCAGAATTTTCTCTCCTTTTCGGCCTTCATTGATCCCTTTCGGCCTTCGTTTCCAAGGACCGCTTTCTCAGAGAGTTCTTCCCTTCTTACCCTTTGAAACGCAGGTCCTACATGTTGGTCCCGTCCCTGGCTGGTCTTTTAGACTTTAATTGAAGTGATTGTCATTTTCTAAGATATGTCTGTCCCCCAGCATGACTGCTTCAAGAGGCAGGGACTTCTCTGTCTTGTCTTCGTCTTCTCTCTAGAGCCTGGAATAGGGCCAGGAAGTCGTAGGCCTTCAGGAAGGACACGTGGAAGGAATGGGACTGTGGTGTTAGACTAGGGGGCAGAAGCTGGAGTGTGAGAGCCAGGCACGAAGCTCAGAGAGCCTGGAAGACTGAGGAACACGCTTGTTTTGAAAAAGGGCTGCCTTGGAAGGCAATGAAAGCAAGCTGAAAAGCGGGAGGCTACTGGTGACAGAAAGCAGAGTGCCTAAGCTGGTGACACGAGACAATGCAATTTCCAGTCACGGTAAGGCCCCGGTTAAATGGCGTGATTACCAGAGCAGTGACTTGGGCGGACTGGAAACAACCACGAAAATAGGCAGACTGATGGAACCGAGTTCAAGCAAAACGAAATTCACGTGTAAGCATGCAATATGGAATAGAGGAAACCTCAAATCAATGAAGTGATGGATTATTCAGTAAATGATCTTTGGGGGAGGGGGGCCCACTTTAATGACCATACTTCGTATCATAATTAAGATTAAATTCCAGATAAAGAGTTAGCAAACTTTTTTTTTCTTTTTTGGAAAGTGTTTATTTACTTACTTACTTACTTACTTACTTATTTTACTTTACTTACTTGCGGCTGCTCCGCAGGGCATGTGGGATCTTAGTTCCCCAACCAGGGATCGAACCTGAGCCCACGGCAGTGAAAGTGCCGAATCCTACCCACTGGACCGCCCGGGGATTCCCAGGAGTTAGCAAACTCTTAATGGTGTAATGAATGATCAAAACTTTTAATAATTAAAAGAGCAACTGAGACAAAGATTTAAAGTCAGACTTTTAACTCACTCATGCAAATTATAAGAAAAATACTTCACTCATAGCATAACGATATTCAAAGGACAAGGGTAGGTAATTTGCAGAAGAGAACATGCACGTGTCTATACCTTAAATAAATATTTAAGACATAAGTGAGTATATGGGGATTTAAATATGAAACTATTTTTCCTATCAAATTAGCACAGACTTTCTTATAATATTTATAGATAGACATTCTTATACCTGTTAGGATTGTAGCTTTTGGAAAGAAACCTAACAATTTACATTAAAAGCTTTAAAGAATTGTTCTTCTCTTTTAGGTAAATCCTATATTGAAATTTAAAAAAAAATTCCTAGTGTAAAATTAGGAAGAGCACAAATTATGATACACAAACTGGATTTAATGCAAGCATTATACTTATTTCCAAATATATTTTCATAGTTTATGCGTATATATGGCTTTGTCTGCAGTGCCTACTCACTTTGTTGTCTCAGTTAAATTAGCATCAGTGTTAGCCTTCAACATAAATTTCTAGCCTAAATTTATATCAGGGTCTGACTCAGGTGCTATTTGGGTTACATACGTATGTTTGAAATTCTGCACAAAGTTTGTTTCAAGATTACTTATAAAGCAGCCCTCCTAAACATGGGGATATGTGTGGGTGTGGGATATTTAATAGGCAAAAAGTTTTTTCATAAATGATTTTTAAGTACTTAATGATAAACGTGTAGTACATTGTTTTTTTTAAATTAAGACTTCACTAGTGCTTTATGGCATTTAATATTTCCTCAGTTTCTTCATTTACTTGATATCCTTAAAAATGCCAAATAAACTGGTTTTAAGAACTGTATTCATAATAACAAACTATATTTAGTCCCTTTTTATTTAAATAAATCATAGAGCTTTCAGCATTGATCTGAGAATATTAATAGTTTTTTTTGAGAATAATACTATTTAGCTGTAATGTGCACCTAAATCTATGTTATGTTATATATGTGGAAGGTAAATTAATTTAGAACAGGAGTTCTTTGCCTAAATGACATTGTTCTATACCTTTTAGTTATTTATTTTTATTGAAGTACAGTTAATTTACAATATTGTGTTAGTTTCAAGTGTACAGCAAGGTGATTCAGTTATAGATGTATATTCTTTTTCAGGTTCTTTTCCATTATAGGTTATTTCAAAATACTGAGTATAGTTCCCTGTGCTATATAGTAGGTCCTTGTTATCTATTTTATATATAATAATGTGTGTATGTTAATCCCACATTACCCACATACCTTTTAAATATAAAGTGTGTGCATATCTTTATTGAGAATGAAAGGGTTTAAAGTCTAGCATTATCTCAGTAATATTGTACTTTGGTGGAAGCTAGAAAGTAGCAAGTGTTTTATGTTTATATACAAATGTAAATTTTATGTTTTATGACTTAGCAAAGCAAGACACATTTTATTACTTTATTATATTTTAACTATTTTCTTTATGAAGACAGTCTTTTGGAAAACTGGGTGAAGTATTATAGTGCAAAGTATTTAGTAGTTTGTGTTGGTTGGACCCGATTTTGAGTCCTGGCACAATTACTGGGTTTTGTTTTGTTTTGAACAATTTATTTAGTTTCCCTTCATGTTTTCTCATCTGGAAAATAGTGGTAATAATCCTAATTTGCTGAATTGATATGATGATTATTATGCACTAAAAGCATCAAATGTAGTGCTAGATACACAGTAGTCATTCAATATAGAATCACTGTTTTTATAATTATCGTGTGAGCCATTTAGCCAGAACTTAATGGGTGCAGTTAGCCTGAGGGAAATTTTTACAGTGTGTAAGGGGTTGGGATATTTAACAGAGTGTTGGGGCGGGGGGGTTTTGGCAAATTCTGCCAGTGTAAATTGCGTGCAAGGCTCATTGCTGGGGTAGAGGGGTGCCGGCACAGAGGTGGAAACGTGTCCCCTTGAGGAAGGGACTTTAATGTGGCCTGTAACTGGCTTTCTTTCCCCATATTCGATCCAAGAACAATCCTTTGAATGGTGAAATGTAACTCCAGCTTCCTGGTGACAAAACTGGGTCTACAGAGGATCAGCGACTTTGATAAAGCCTCTTGATGAATGCTAGAGCTGAGCTTTGAACCACTAACCTCTGCTTTGTCTGTTCATTCAGCGGATGTAAATCCAGTGCGTCCCAGGTTCCGCGCACTCAGGTTTAGCCCTCTCCCCACCCGCCATAGACCAGTCAGTGCTCACTAAACCTTGGACTCCACTCAGTCTCCAAGGGTCTCATTGTTCACGAAATTAGTAGATTCCCAAAAACTTGTTCATTGAGTTCTATTTAAGATGTATTATTAAAAGGAATTCTGTAGTATTTTAAAATAAAAATGGGTATTTTATTTTATTTTGAATTTTATTTTATTTTTTTAATACGGCAGGTTCTTATTAGTTATCTGTTTTATACATATTCGTGTATATATGTCAATCCCAACCTCCCAGTTCATCCCACCCACCACCACCCCCCTGCTTTCCCCCCTTGGTGTCCATACGTTTGTACTCTACATTTGTGTCTCTAAAACATGGGTATTTATTTTAAATAAAAATAATCTTCTAAGTTACTGGTTTCATAAATGTTATTTTATGAATAGTTTCTTAAGCAATGGAATACACATAACAGGAATAGAAAACAACTAATGATTGTTTACACAGATGGGGTGGTGAGTTCAGTTTTGGAGAGATTAATCCAACTCACATTGGAAAATCTTTTTGTTCTATTTAAGACTTAAATATCATTCATTTAAATGATAGGAATGATTTCTTTGGGATGGTGTAAAATATATCTTTCATCTCTTACCATACGTTAGATGTTTAAAAGTTAAGAAAAACCTTAAGTTATATCGCTATATTACTCAAAAGTGTTTTGTTCTTATTTTTATCTTCAGTAGTGCCTCTTCACTCTAGGCTAATATTAAAGAATGTGGATATAGAGGACTGATTGTATCTTTGAAAATATAAGGTGATGAATAATAATCTTTGATGTTAAGATGAAACTGAGGTGAAAATGTACTCATAGCAACCATTAGCAAATTGTCACATTTGTAGGCGTTAGAAATAAGGTGGTGATAACAATAATATTGGCCTAGTTTCTCTGCTCACAGCCTTGGCATACCGTATCACATCCAGTGCTGTTTCAGTGTCATTCTGGAATCTAGAGACGATTTAAGTTAGAGATATGAGCAGATACACACTGCTGTGTATAAAATAGGTAACAACAAGGTCCTGCTGTAGAGCACAGGGAACTATACTCAACATCCTGTAATAAACCATCATGGGAAACAATATGAACAAGAATATGCATGTGTATGTATAACTGAATCACTTTGCTGTCCACCAGAAACTAACACAACATTGTAAATCAACTATACTTCGGTTTTTAAAAAAATCATAAATGAGAGGTGCGCTGCTGACTGTGCCACAATTAATTAACTCTCCGGCCTTGGCTGCAAGGCCATGTTGCTGTCCCACCTGGAGCATCTCTGCTCACCGTGGTCCTACCCAAGCAGCAGTATTCACTAAGGCCACTGCCGAAAGAGCTTTTGTAGAGGTTAGACTTTCCATTTTCACTCATGCTGTCTTCATTAGGTATTCTGTCTTCAACTATTTTCCCCATAGGTTTTTCTTATAATGTGTGATAATTCTTACAACATACGGTATAATGTATGTTCAGGAAATCGTACGTAAGGAACTGAAATGTGATTAAAATTCTTTTTGTTAAACTTCAGAAAATATTAACACATACTTGTATTGCTTCAAAATGTAGAATTAAATATTCTATGATATAAACCAAGACTTCAGAAAGCTGAAACTTTGTTGATAAGAAAATAATATGGGACTTCCCTGGTGGTCCAGTGGGTAAGGCTCCATGCTCCCAATGCAGGGGGCCCAGGTTCAATCCGTGGTCAGGGAACTAGATCCTGCGTGCGTGCCGCAACTAGGAGTTTGCATGCCGCACCTAAGAAGTCCACACGCGGCAGCGAAGATCCCTCATGCCGCCACTAAGACCCAGAGCAGCCAAAACAAACAAATATATGTGTTCTTAAAAAAATTTTTTAAATAATACAATTTATTCTTTAAACATTGATTTAAACTAAATGATAGAAAAAGTATAGATCCTTCTATAAGCTGCACTCATGTGTTAAGCATCTCTTAACAAGAAGCAGATTAGGTTGTAGTTATGACTCTGGAGCTGGAATTCCTGGCTCTGTTCTTGATTCCACAATTACCAGCAACATGATCTTGGAGAAATAGTTTCTTTTTACCTATATGTTTGGAGAATAGTAAAAGTCAGTGACTCACTTCATAGGACTGTTGAAGGGTTAAACAAGTCAATGCATGTGAAGCACTTAGAGCAGAGCTCCTGGCACATTGTCAGTATTTGGTGTTGGCTTTCTGTTATTACGTTCAGCGTTTTATATTTTCATCGTTCATTTATTTATTTTAATCTGTATTTGCCTATTCTTCAAAATAAGATGTCTTTATTGTCTTTGAAAATCATGTGGACTGTGAGTTATTTGAAGTTGGTCAACTTTATGTCTTCTACAAAATTAATAGTCTTATAGTAAAGCGTTTCTAAGCGTTTACTATTTTATCTGGAAAACCACGTTTATGATGTTCAAAATGGATATAGTTGATACTTAATTGTACTCGTTCTTAGTGTGCTTAAGCAGTTAGTAAATTCTGGGTACATATGTCAGATGAGGCCAATATGATACATAGTACATGATCGTTGAGATGATCATTACAAAAGCACATAGAATAGCCTAGAAAGGATAGCGCATCTATACTTGAGATAGCTCAACAGAAGAGCCCATTTTGAAACTTGTGACTCTTGATTCAGACTAAATATTTGTTTTTGATCACAGAACCATAACAGGCCTTGGAGTCTCTTTCCAGAATTAAAAACAAATTCTAAAAAATTTAAGAGATTGGGTCATTGCATTTATTTAACATTTTTTGAGCACCAGAGAGTAGCTACAGATTTGCAGCTATGAATAAAGACAGTAGCATTCTTAGACTTCCTTCCTTCTCTTCATTCCTGTTATACCTGGTTCCTTCAGACGTTCCTGAGCTAATTTTACGTTTGCCTCATTCTTTCTTGATCTTGATTACTTGACATTTGGTCTGTGCTGCACTCAGCGGTGTTGAGGAATGGGAAGAAAGACTGTGTCACCTACAGGCATGTAGGGTCTTTCACACCTTTGGTGATGTATAGTTGGAGAGTGGACACTGGGGTCATCAAAGTAATTATTAATGTTTTGTTTGCATAGTTATCAGGTTACCTTTGATTCGGGATTCACTTTTTCACAAAGACTGTCTAATAAGAGAGAAGTGGTTCAGTCTTCTTGGCATTAATAAGTCTACACCTGTTCTTTGGGGGAAGGAATTGTTCAGAATTAATTGTCACCCTTAAGCTCTTAGCTTAAGCCATTCTCTTTGAAAAATGGAGTGAAAACAGATACTGCCTTTTTCTGATTCTACGATGTTTCAAATGCCGTACGACAGGTAATCAGAATTATTGATAGTCATTAATCCTAACTACAAATTCCAGCAGTGATAAAAATCACTCATATTTTGTTGAAGTAATTCTTTTCTGTAGTGCCTAGTGCACGACTGTTTGTTAACATTGAATACGTGTAACTTAGTTATGGAAAGTTAATATGAGAAAAAACAATATTTCGAACTAGACTTGTTTTTATTTCTTTTGGGCACAAAAGATTTCCTTAAGAAAGTTGGTCTGTCTGTCTGTCTATACATCTATCTATTTATTTGGGGTCTGTTTTAAGGCCACAGAAAGTGAGGCTGGTGAGATGGACCTGAGTGGGTTACCGGAGACAGCAGTGGACTCTGAAGATGATGATGACGAAGAGGACATCGAGAGAGCCTCGGACCCTCTGATGAGCAGGGACATCGTGCGAGACTGCCTGGAGAAAGACCCCATCGACAGGACAGACGATGACATCGGTAAGTCTGGGCGAGAAAACGAATCTCATAGCAATTTAAAGAATTCAGAGGTAAGACTGTGTAATACAACGGAGCCCAAGAATAGTAGGCTCTGAAAGGTCATTAATGTATCAGTCAGTGTTCCTTGGCATTTGTTGTTGAAAACATTTTTGAAACAATTAATTTTACTCAGGCCATAGCTTCAGGAGACTACAGCTAATAAAAGTTGCTAATAAAACCCTTCCACACGAGCCGTTCCTTAGCTTACTCTCGGACAAAAAAAATAAATATAGTCTTCCAAACATCATTACTTCTATTAATCGTCTTGCGCGCACTATTTCTAGGAAGCTCGAGTTTTTCTTTGTGTGAACATCAGTCGGGTGGTGGTCGGGAAAACCGTCATGCAAATGACTTTTCTTCTTCTCTGGTTCCGTAGGAAGGTGAGCCTCAGGGGAAGAAGAGAGCAGAATGTCAAGTGAGCCCCGCGTGAACCTGGGGGTTGAGGCTTTAAGTGCGCCCTCAGGTTAAGAGTCTAAGTGGCTTTGTGTCCACTTTTTCCTTCCCCGGGGTCGCCTTTACCCGGCTTTGCCGTCAGAGCAACAGTTGACTGTGCAATGGTGCTGTAGCGTTCATGCCTGCCTGATGGGCCCTGCTCCTTCCTTAGATGCCGGGGGCAGTGAGAGCAGCTTCCTCTGAGAGCATCTCTGCCCCGTAGGTCTGGAATCTGATTGTCTGCTCTTCCACACCGTCGGCTCTTTTTGGGCCAATATGTATTTGAAAGAAATTCAAGGAACTGGGTCTAGTGGGATTAGATATAGGACAGTATGGGCATCATCGTATGTGAGTGGCCGGTTGCTTGTGTTTTAAGGGAGCCAGTATCATGTATGAGGAGGCCCTTGTACCGTTTAAGCACTGCACGTATGCTAGGGAATTAAAGATGGAAAACCAGAACCTTGGATTAGGTATCTAAAATATAACTAAAGCCATTGATAGGAATCGCTAGCTCTGTAGAGATGACTGCTGTGTGGAGTGAGCATTCGGTCATCGGCGGATGTGACTGAGCGCCTTGTGTGGACTGAGGGTTTCCTGGGTCCTGGCAGACCAGTGGGAACCAAACAGGGAGCCCTGGTCCTGCTGGGGTCTGAGGAATAAAGTGGGGGAGATATTTCGGGGAGTGCAGCGAACAGGGGGCTGTTGTAGGAAGGAAGGACTGTCAACACCCTTTTAGAAGTTCAGACCCGAAGGAGGTGGTGGGAAGCCAGCCATGCCTGCACCCCCAGCACAGAAGTGCCTCTGCCGTCACCCTTCTGGGGGCATTAACCTCTAGATTTCTGTTGGAGGAAAGGACGTAGCTGCTTCTCACATGCCCATCCCTGTCCCTCCTCAGGTTAGCCCACCCCCTCCTCCACCTGGTCCACTCCCCGGTCCTGATGTGCTCTTAGTCACAGGTCTTCTGAGGCTTCCGCAGCATGAAGTGAAGTGGTCCTGTTGCATCCCTGAAGACGTAGGGTTTAGCTTCCTCCAGACTGATACCACACGTTCATCTGATTTCCACTGTCCAAAATTTATTCCACTCCCTTATTCTCTTTGTCCTTGCCCGCTTCTTTTTCATTTTTAAAAAACTTTTTATTGGAGTATATTTGACTTACAATGTTGCATTAGTTTCATGTGCACAGCAAAGTGAATCAGTTACACATATACGTATGTTCATTCTTTTTCAGATTCTTTTCCCGTATAGGCCATTACAGAGTACTGAGTAGAGTTCCCTGTGCTATACAGCAGGGCCTTATTTGTTATCCATTTTATATACAGTAGTGTGTGTGTGTGTGTGTGTGTGTGTGTGTGTGTGTCAATCCCAGTCTCCCAATTTATCCCTCCCTCCTATGTTTCCCCTTCGGCAACCATACGTTTGACTTCAAGATCCTACTTCTTTTTCAAAATCGCTTTATTGTAAAGAGAGAATGAAATTGGAAGTGTGTTTGGTTTCCCATCTTAAGAATCCTTGCTCATAGGGTTTTTAAAAAATTAGATTGAACACTGCTTATGAACAGATTGACATGGAGGTTATCCTTTTTTGAGTATGCTCATGTTAGTATCATTATGGAAGAAAATTACGATTATGCAAATACATGTAGCATGTTATTCTTGGAAATTTAAGACTTTCACTTCATATCTGAGAAGTTTTCTCTCTCAGAATTTCTAGAAAGCAAGAGCTATGCTGATTCCTACAAATGAACACCACACTATTTTTTTTTTTTAGTGTGCTTGTTGATAGAATCTCTGGATGAATTACTCACAGTTGAATACTGCCAATACGCTTGTAAACAGTGATAACTCAGATGCATGCTCCTATCAAATATATTTTTATTTAAAATAGTAAATCATTATCACGAAAGATAAGGTCTAGGGACTTCCTAATGGTGCAGTGGTTAAGAATCCGCCTGCCAATGCAGGGGACATGGGTTCGAGCCCTGGTCTGGGAAGATCCCACATGCCACGGAGGAACTAAGCCCGTGCGCCACGACTACTGAGCCCGCACTCTAGAGCCTGCAAGCCACAACTACTGAGCCTGCATGCCACAACTACGGAAGCCCATGCGCCTAGAGCCCATGCTCCGCAACAAGAGAAGCCACCACAATGAGAAGCCCACACACCGCAATGAAGAGTAGTCCCCACTCGCCGCAACTAGAGAAAGCCCGTGCACAACAACGAAGACCCAACGCAGCCAAAAATAAATAACTAAATTTTTAAAAATTGCTAATATTTAATCATGTTTTTAAAACTGCAGGAATTCCCTTTGGGTTCCCACAGATTCTTGGGTATACCTTTGTTTCAGTACTTTGAAGAAAGGGACATTATTGATTTTTGCGCTTCAACTCGTAACTCTGTAGGTACTCAGTTATTGAATGGTTCCAAATTTAATATTTTTGGTTTTGAGGCCTTCACACATTAAGGTAGAGAACTACTTTGATCCCTTTCAAAGAATTCCTTTTTTTTTCCCCACTTGGTGTACCACACACACATACAAATCCACAGGTTTTTAAAAAAAATCTTAATATTAATTATTTCTTATATAAAATTAAACCAAAGCAATAAGATAAGAATTTTCTGAATTGACTAAAGCTTCTGGTGTCTGTAAGTTGATTATTTGACTTTTCTTTGTGTTACATTGACTAGAAAAAAGTTTTTTTGAATGTCTAATATTTTTCATAAACAGGAATATTTCTTCCCTAACAAAGTAAGATAGATCACATTAATGTATTATCCAGACAGATTCTTCCAAGCCGTGTAGAATAAAGCTGTCCTGTTTCTCCCTTCCACACTGCTTCTCTCCATACGTCCTGGGAACTATCTCAGTGCTCATTCCACGCTCTGAATTCTTGGCTGACATAATCCCTGTAACTCTATGCTTCCTGGGGCATCATCAGGGTTTATGTTGAGCTGCTGTAGTCAGATGCTTCCATTTTATATTTATTATTTTTTTAAAGATTGGTGATATAAATTCTTTATTTTTTTTAATTGCTGTAGTCCTCCAGTGTAATACACGATAGAATACAAGCTATCACAAAACCAGTAATACCATTATTGAGTTTTTGAGAGTTTTAAAAATACTTGGATGTTGTCTGGTTAAGTGTTTGTTTATTTTTAATTTTTCAACTGAGCCTGGAGAAGTATATACATTTACTATTATTCTATCTTCTCTGTCTCCTTTATTATTTATCCTTATATGTGATACACAGATATTTTCTGTTCTGTTGTATCTTTTAATGTTAATCATTACTCACATATCACAAATTGATTTCATGACCCACTAATGGAGTAGGAAACTGCGAGAAAGCAAGACAACTGTCCGTGCAAGCACTTCAAATCATTGCTGCAAGTATTAGTGAATACGTTTTATACTTCATATTCATATGCTTCATATTCTCCTGTCGTGTGTGGTGGTAATTTGACTTTTATTACTGTCTAAACATGTTAAATTTAGAACATTTCTGACAATTTCTGGTCTCGTATTTTTCTTAAGAGCGTGCATCTCTTCTTGTCCAAGGAAATTTAGCTCTAACTAGGAGAGGAAAAAAATGAAATGGTGTTCTAATACCTATAGCTAGTATTTTAATACCTTACAGTGAGGGGTGTGGGGTGTGACAGCCGAAGAGAACAGAGGCTGGTAACAGCAGAGCTAACGGGGGTGTGCCAGCCAGGGGACCACGATTTGTTCATTTGCCTTTACGTTTCATGTCAAAAAGCCAGTGCAGCTGTAAAACACTGAGTCCCACCTCCCGCAGATAGTAGGTATGGGTCATCTCTTGTGGTGCCATTCAGAATTGCCTTATAGCTGCCCTCAGGCATAAACATATTTTATGACGGGACACCAACACATCTTCTCATTCCAGAAATGAAAGTTTCACTCAACAGAACTTATTCTTTCTGTAACTGATGTACTCTGACACTCTCGCTCCTACTCTTTTAAAAATGCTGGTTGCAACAGTAAATTGATGTCCTGACGCATCGGTCTGGGTCAAGTTGAAGAACGCTGTCTTGTTGGACAGAATCCCTGGGTACCACGTATCACTGTTATTCTTTCTGATTACCAGAGCCACCCCCGTAATGAAAAGTCTTGTACAGGAGGGATGACGTAGGGTCTAAGCAGAACAGACGTTACCAACCTGGACCAGAAAACACCGCCTAGTCTGACCTTGTGGAAAAGTCATGTTTTCACAGAACATATCTTTATATTATACATTGTTTTTGCAATTAACAAACTATATCCAGCAACATAAAACTTGTCACTAAATCCTAATAGAGAGCAGGAATGAGCACAGGGACAGTATCATTATGTGCAGACAAGAAAAATGTAGTAGAATTTTTACTTAGCCAAAAGTTTGAACGATACCATGAATATAATAATAATGGTAATAACAGCAGTTCTCATGTATTGCGTATCTACTCTCTGCTGAGGACTTTATCATCTTCATTCCTTTTGATCCTCAGAACTGTCTAGTAAGGTGGGTATCATCTTATTCTTTTCCAAATGAGAGAAACACGCCTTAAGGAAATGAATCATCTTCCCCAAAGTAATTCAGCTAGTAAGTGTTCACAGGCTGACACACGCCCTGTGGTCTTTATCACCACCTGTGATGTCCAGCCTGAGCATGGAGACACTCAGTCCTGAATCGTGTCACTGCCACTTCCTAATTATGTGCCTTTGAGCCACACGGTTTCCTCCCTGTGAAATGAAAAAGAAACCATGCATCTCTTACAGCCATGGTGAGGAGTGAGGAAAGAACTTAGTAAGGAGTTCTTACCAAGAAGAAGCTGTTTGTCCACAGCATTGCCCATAGGAAGAGTGAGCAAACTTTGTTTTCGTCCATCTGTGGGATCAGAGATAATATATCCATTTTCATTCGCCTTTATCATAGAATGTTGTAAACTTGTTAATGGATTACTTTTTATGGATTTGTCTGACCCACAGAAGATATTCCCTGGTTTCTAAATCCTGGAGTATCTTTAGAGTGAAGGTGGTTGTTTCCGCTGTGTGTTTGGGGCATCCACTCGCCCCAGAGGCACCGGAATGGACCTACTGACTTTCTAGAGAGTTGTCAGAGCTCTGTTTCATTTCAGCTTATCATTTCATCCCTTAATAAGCCTTAATAAGATCACAGCTCATTTTCAATAGAAATTCCCCATTTGAGGTTTATTAATTTCTTCATTCCCACTGGAATTTGAATTGCACTGTGTCCTGTTGCTCCTGAATCAACAAGGAAATGTCACCATTTCCACAGTGACAGAATTCTTCGTGTACCTGCAAGAAATTCAACGTGTGCTGAAGATAATTTAAAGTCTTTGTACTGTTCACCAGGCAGAATTTTAGGACATTTAAAAAGGAAGAGGCATAGAGCATTCTTTCTGAATGCTTGTTTGGGGAAATAGTTGTCATTTTTTCACACGCCTTCTGCTTTTCAGAACAACTCCTTGAATTCATGCACCAGCTGCCGGCTTTTGCCAACATGACGATGTCGGTGAGGCGGGAGCTCTGTGCTGTGATGGTGTTTGCAGTGGTGGAAAGAGCCGGGACCATCGTGTTAAACAACGGTGAAGAGGTTAGGAAATATTTCTGCCACTTATAACGTCTCTATGTGAGCCTCGCTCGATGCAGCAAACAAACAAAAACCCCATTCTTCTTCTTTCCTCCTTACAAACCATGGGCAGCAATAAGTTTCAATCATTCGGGAATTATGATGCACTCGTTGTGTCAGAGTCTTCCAAGTTCATTATTTTATTTTCTATTATTTGCGGTTTTCCAGATGATACTGGTAGAAACATTTTTGACATTTTAACTTTTCAGATTTTGCAACTTAAAAGTTCATAATAGTATGCCTCTTGTCAGAACACAGTGCTGTTCTTATCAAGGCTGTGGTGATCATTTTATCTTGTTTACATGTGTTTTGGGGAACAGAAGACACTTTTTCCCTAGTGTCGTTTAAGAGAGGAAGAGCTATAGAGTCATTAGGAGAGCGGAGTGCCGTGCAGGCACCTGGAAACCCGTGGGTCCATGGCTGTGCTTTAGTTCTCGTTCTGTGAACTTGGCCAACGGTCAGCTGTACTTGGGTTATTTGTTCCCTCTTTAAAAAATAAAAGATGTAAATCATTTTTAGGGACCGTTCCAGCATTTACAGCTTCACGATCATGATGTTATATTTTCTGCTTTGTCTTCATTTTTTGGAACTAGCTGGACTCCTGGTCAGTGATTCTGAATGGTTCTGTGGAAGTGACTTACCCAGATGGAAAAGCAGAAATACTATGTATGGGAAATAGTTTTGGTGTCTCTCCTACTATGGACAAGGAATACATGAAAGGAGTGATGAGGACAAAAGTGGATGACTGCCAGGTATAAACTGTCATTATTCTATGCTTAATATAAAGAACTTACGTATGCAATTGAGGTAAGATTTTTCAGCCTGTATAAACAGGTCATCTTTTAGATTTATAAAGAAGATTTTAAAGTAGAACTATGACTTTTAGTGTTATCACACTCCAGTAAATTAAAAACAAATCTCCCCTAAAGTTACTTGGATTCCACAGAGCTAAGCATTCTGTAAGTGTGTTCTATTAAAAAACAGGTGTTCTATAAATACAGTATTTTTAATTTCCATCAATAATAATTTATAGTCTAGTAAGTGGAAGTAAAAATGCCCATGATGAAAAGAAATTATATGTAGGTTAGTAAAGATGCTGTGATACAGTTACACAGTATTTTTATTTAAATACATGGATGATATGGAATTGATTTTAGAAGTCATGAAAATTAATCATGGTATGAATCAGTAGAAACACTTGATAGTAAAGAAATGATTGCTAATAAAAAGAACAATGTCAGTATTGCTATTATGTTAATATTCATTATTTAAAAGCATTTAATAAAAGACTAGAGAGAATGTTGAGACCAAATGTGAAATTTAATTAGATCGATCTAACAGGTAACCTCTATATTAGTGTAAAAAAAAATTTAAGGTGCTTTTATCATTATTAAGTATTTATAATTTAGGTCTTAAAAAATTGTCCTTGAAAGATAAAATATTTTAATATAAATAAACCAAAAGAGTTGACTTAGACTAATTAATGTTAAGTGGTCCTTGTATTTGTTCGTCTACAGTCTAAAATACGTCATCTGAATATAGTTTATGCTAAAAGAACATCATTGAATTTTTATAATGTCTGATAAATATAAAATAGTGCTCATTTAAATTTTCATTTCAAGCGTTTTACTTACTAAAAAGAAAAATGACCATGGCTATAAATAAAATCATCTTACTTAGAGAATAATTTTGCTAAATAATTCCTCCAGTGAGCACCATAGAGAGAGGAAAAAAAAAGGCTATAAATTCAGTTTTTGAATATGTAATGCCAGAAGAGCTTTCTTAATATAGCCAGCTCTCAATTATTTGGCAAAATAGAGGAAAACAGAATGGTACATAAATCTCAAAGTCTATATTTGGCCTCAAAAATGTTAAAAGGGGTCATATGTGATATTTCAGCTTTAGAATTATATTCCAAAAAAAATAAAGCCAAACTGAGTCAAAACGAACTGGAAAATTGTTAAAGGTTTCTCTGTCCTGTTGTTGCTTCACAGTCTCTCCTTGGGCCCTTCTGCAAGTCAGGATCACTAGAGCATCTGGGTCCGTTTCTGTCCTTAAAGGGCGAGTAAAAGCGATTTTATTTCTGAGGATTCAGCTACTACCCTAGCGCCTCATAATTGGCCAACCCCTTTTGTTAGAAATTTTGTAATCTTGGGACTGAAGTGATATAGGAGGCATAGAAATGTCTCCGAATAATTGATAAAAATATTATGACTTAATATTCCAAGAGTGCTGAAGTAATGTCAGATGTAGCAGGTAACGTTAAATATTTATCCGGGAGTCCTGGGAAAGGAGGAGGAGAGGTAGATGTAAGGAAGAGAGTTCATCTCTCTGCTGGATGAGGAATCAGCGGAAACTCCAGAGTGACAGTCATCAAGGTAGACGCCAAGAGGAAACGCTAATTGAAAACGAAAACTCTGATTGAGGTAGTATTAGGCTCCTGTGGTTCCTGATACGAGACTCCCAGATGTACAAAGAGGGTCAAGGGTGCAGCGTCTGCCAGACACTTCTCACTCTGCAGGCCTCTCCACACGTTGTAACAGGAACGTGAAATCAGGGGTTCAAGAATCACCCCTGTGATTCCCACCCATCTCAGGCCCTGCGCTCCCCCCCTCCATATTGAACAGGCATGAAGAATGAATTTAGATATTTTAATGCAAATGCTTGTTTGCATTAAATTATATAGCATTTTAGCGTATTTCTGCTAAAATGTCATTTATTTGTCAGGAAGCGCGCGTGCCACATCCTCCTCTTGTTGGGAGAACTAAACAGTGAGAATCACATTTTTGTCCATAACGTGATCTCCACGAGGGTGTCATTGTACTGAGCACATTGTAGGCAATCAAAGGTTACTGAATGAAATGAACGAAAGTGGTGTTCCCTTTACCAAGAGGAAGCAACCTTGGCTAGGTTTGGCCCTCATTTCCTTACAGTTCAGTGGGTTCCCAAAATACATCTTGGGTAGTGTGGTATAGAGTCGAGCCCAAGTTCAGCCTGAGGACACAGCATGAGTGGATTCAGTTTGACATTTATTTCTGTCTGTTTGGGTCCTGTGATGTGCTCAGTGCTCAGCACTGTGCTTTGCCCTGCTCCCTTCTGTGTGCCTCTCTTCCCATTCTCTTTTTGTTTTTCTTTTTCTTTTTTTGGGGGGGGGGTTGGGGCACACCACTCGGCATGTGGGATCTTAGTTCCCCAACCAGGGATTGAACCTGCGCCCCCTGCAGTGGAAGCACGGAATCTTAATCACTGGACCACCAGGGAAGTCCCCTCCTCTTCCCATTCTTGTCCCCTGTTGGGTTTGAAGGACAAGGGCAGGGCCAGGCATAGATGTCCTTTGGTACCAGGTGATTGGTTTTCCATTCCCCATCCACACCTTCTCCTTTTCTTTTTCCCTCTGCCTGTCCCTCTTTTTCTTTCCCGCTCTTCTACTTCTGTCTCCCCTTCCTCTCTCCACCACCTACATCTAGGGCCTGCCAGTGACACCCAGGCATGGCCTCGCCCTGCCCTGCACCCTTCAGCGGGGAGGGAACACTTGGATGCCTGTGTGAACAATTAGGTATGAACTCCCTTGCAGATGCAAAGTACCAGTTTAAACAGATCTAATGTCTTAAGGTAAATCTGTTAAGACTCATGTTTTCTTGAGAGCATGAGAGCTAGTGATGCTTTGAATTTTAGCAGTAGTTTTGGAGGAGAAAGCAATTGCATGGATATAGTGAAAGCTGACTGTTTTGTATGTTGATAAAAGTTTAACTTTACTTCATTCTTTTATCATTTTTAATATTTTTTGCTAAATAAAAGTTGTGAGGTCACGTGCCCAAAAGAAAATTATCCTGGGACGTAAGAAATGAAATGAAATCATTGCCCTTTTATAGATGAAATCTTGCTTGAATTTTTATTTCATATCAGAGTGCCAAGATCATACAGGACTTTCACCTGTGAACACCTGTCTGAAAGTATAAAACCTCACTAAAACAATTATGTGTATAACTCACAAATTTTCAACTGGTTTCATCATACCAATTAAAAATTACATTTTTCCTATAAATTTCCTGTTATACCTAAAAACTTCTTAAAGCAAAAATAAATTTGCTAATAAAAAATAAATATTTTCTTGTAAAATTTATTTCTTTTGAGATATCAGTTCTGTATGGCCATATTAGAAATTCAGTTTGGGCATCTTTCTTTTTTCCTTTTTGGATGGTATTTCAGTTTGCTGCAGAAGAAATGCCAAGGATGTCTGTCTAGACACTAAGAATTTCAAATCAAACTTAATTCTAATTTCTTTAAGTCCTTAGTCAAGAAGATTAATTTTAGTACATTTCTCTTCAGAAAGCATTTTCTTTTTATCTCTCTACTTACTTGTTTTAACTCAGGGATACATTTCTTTTTTAGGAGATAAATGATATAATTATGTTCTCTAAAAATGAGTATAAGAAAGAACACCTAAAATTATTTGGAGACCTGGGGAACAATTTTGCCACCCTGTAAAAAGAAAAAAGTTTAAAATATTTTTGAGGCAAGAAACTAAGGACCATAGATTTTAAACATACACACACCTGTCGTCAGTGTTAAGGATATGAGTCTGTAGGGGGTTTTTTGGCATTAAAAAAATTTTATTAAACTATCCATAATTGCTTACAACAAAAGCCTATGCTTTTCGAATTTTAACTTTTTGATTCTAAACTCTTAATAGAAAAATTAGTGAGATGATATCAATCAACTTGATGGAAGAAACTTAATATCATAGTATGCTCATTCTTGAGTGGGAACTGCTGCTGCTACTTCTGTAAAAAAGCTTTACTGATTATGCAGAAAGTATGGAAAATATAGAAAAGTATATTAAACAATGAAAGTCACTTGTAAATGGCATTGCTCAGAAATAATCATTATTAGCCTTTTGTGATGCCAAGATTCTGATATGCATGTATAATTTTTTTTAATTAGCAAGCATGTACTTATGAGACATTGGTTACATTAGCATGCCGAATGCACAGCTGTTTCCTCATCTGTACAGCGGGGATAATAGTAGTACCTTCCTCATGGGCTGGTTGGGAGGATAAAGTAAGAAAGTTCCTATAAAGCTACTGCAATATGATGATAATAATGTCATCATTGTCATTAAAATCATTATTACAATATTTGGTTTTAAATTTTTTTTTAAAAATCAATGTGTTATCATGAATATTGAGCCGGAAGTCTAAACGTCCTATGAAAATATGATTTTAGATGCCCGTAGCATCTTTTATCTTACGTACATTATAATTTAACCATTCCCTCTTTTCATCTTTTCACCTTAAAGGAGAAAAAGAAATGTCCATCCTTTCTTCATTCCTAACAGATTTTTAAAATGAGAATAAATTATTCAAAATTCAGAGAAAACAGTAATTTTTATTTACGAATCTACTGTTGCTTTCTCACTGGCCTCTGGCTAATCTGTGTAACAAGTGATTTCTAGAATTCATTCATAACTTTCTTTAAAACTACTAAGAAATGTAATTAAATGGTTTGCCCTGAGCCCTGAAATTTTTTATTTCTGGGGTCGTGGAGGAGTAATTGCTTCATGTGCCTATTTTTGTTAACTTTTTCTTTAAAAGAGCAAGGATTAACCTTCATACCAGTTATGAGGAATAATGATTTGAGCTTAACAAGTATGTGGCTTGTTTTGTGGACCTTTTTTGAACAGACTTTCTAAAATGATTTCTTTTATCAATTATAATTAGCAAATTTGTTATATCTACTGCTTGGGTATCTTTGAATTTTGATATCTTTTATTAAGATCATTTTTATTTTTAAATTGCTGCTCTGAAAGTCTTCAAATTTTTAAAGCCCACTAAATGATAATTATGTTTTAATATCTATTTGTTAAATAATAGAATTTATTGAGCACATACTGTATATCTAGCACAGTTCAGGAGTTTTACCTGGATTATCTCACTCAGCCTCCACAAGGATCCTATGAGGCTGGTGCTCTTAGGACCATCTCCCCTTTTCAGATGGTAAAATGAGGCCCACCGGGTGATTGTCCCAGGATCCCACAGTGAGAGGTAGTAAAGCTGGGGTTTGAATCAGTTCGCCTGACCCTAGAAGCCACAGGCAGGAAGGGTTGGGGCAGGTAAGAGAATTTCTTCTGACAAGCAATTTTATGGTGATTTTATTAGCACGCTCGGATTTCCTAAGCACCAGAGAGCCCCAGGTTTGTACCTGCCCACTGATAGTATAGCAAAAAATCACAGTCTAAAACAAGGCGTGGTCACTTAGCTCAGTCCCCTGGATTCAGGTTGCACATTACAATTCTTAAACTAGAAAGACCACCCAGCAGCTACCCTGATGGAGTGGATTACAGTCCATTATTAACATCATCCTATTCTGAATTCTTTTCATATTCTTCCTTTCTGCTAGGGCCATAATTCTAACAGATACTTAAACGACCACGTATAGACTCTCCAGAGCTTTTTTGCTGCTCTGCCCACAGTTGTGTGTGCGCTTTCTTTTTTTTAATTTTTATTGGAGTATACTCGATTTACAATGTTGTGTTAGTTTCCAGTGTCCAGCAAAGTGATTCAGTTCTACATGTACATAGAGCCAATCTTTTTTTTTTTCTTTTTAATATCTCTCCTGAGAGTCCACTCTTCTCCCCCAGTGTTTTCTAAGTGTCACAGGTTGGGGGGGTGGGAGTGGTGAGAAAGAACTATTCTAATTTTATCTTCCGATATTTTTCATTGTTAGGATTTTTAATATAAACTACATATAAATATTCTAAAAATGAAACTTTTCTTGACCAAGGAGGAAATACATTAAAAAGTAGAGAAGTCCGATTAAGGTTCATTACTGCCCTCATTTAGAAAGTATGGGAGAGACATGGGAAAATGTCAGTGTTAAATAATTAAAACACTGAATCATTAGCGCTGCTATAGGTCTCTCGCAAGCACTTTATCATTAGCATGTGACTTACATTTTATTCCAGTTTGTCTGCATAGCCCAGCAAGATTACTGCCGTATCCTCAACCAAGTAGAAAAGAACATGCAAAAAGTTGAAGAGGAAGGAGAGATCGTCATGGTGAAGGAACACCGAGAGCTCGATCGAACGGGAACAAGGAAGGGGCACATCGTCATCAAGGTGAGACAAACACGCCTCTGCCCCATGGCAGGAGGGTTTAGATAGTACCCGTTAGGACCGTGTAAGATGCCCCCACTCCGTTTTTAGGCGTAACTTCTCTTAAATGTTAGCAATTGTAAAAAATCTTTATCTTTCCTGAAGAACAGCAGTCTTAGTCATTATTGTGTATGTTACCATCCAGTTCATCTTAGGCTGAAGGTTTGAAATCAAGGTACCATATAGATGCCATTCATGCGGGATGCTGGTGACGCCTTTGGTGTGTTGCAGGGCACCTCAGAAAGATTAACGATGCATTTGGTGGAAGAGCATTCGGTGGTGGATCCGACGTTTATAGAGGACTTCCTGTTGACCTATAGGACTTTCCTCTGCAGCCCGATGGAAGTGGGCAAAAAGTTGTTGGAGTGGTTTAATGACCCGAGCCTCAGGGATAAGGTTGGAAGTTGCATTTTAGTTTCCTTTCAACTATGAAACATTCAGATACAAAGTTAAAGAGACTTTAATGTATATTTGTCATGCCACTTACGTTCAAAATATTTTGATGGGATAAGAGAATGTACTTCTTAAGCCAAAAGAAAAAAACAAGGTGATACACATAGCAGTTCTTGTTATAGATTTCTGAGTTCAGCCCTAGAATTTTTCTTGTTGTAAAGCCTTGCCTCTTGGGCTTGCAGTTTGTTTGTTTGTTTACTTATTGGGCCGCGCCATGTGGCATGTGGGATCTCAGTTCCCCGACCCGGGATCAAACCCACGCCCCCTGCATTGGAAGTGCGGAGTCTTAACCACTGGACTGCCAGGGAAGTCCCTAGAAATTTTTTCTTTTTGACACAAAGGCCGATACATAGGCCAGCAAATGTTTCAGCAGGTATTCTGTGAGAATCCTTCCCTATGTGGATGTATTTTTGACGTATTTGTGGGAGGAGGTGAGTTCTGTGTCCTTCTCCTCCGCCATCTTGATTCCCTTCCCCCCAGCAAATGTTTATAAACTTTAGTTTCGTTGCAAATTCTGTTAAAACACAGCCCTCAATCACCTGGGTTCCATGGGAATCTGCATCCTCTGGTTCAGTGGACGGCCAGTGTACACCACGTAAAAGTTACCGTTTTTCAGTTGGCACCCGAGCAGCATCCCCTCAGAACCATTGCGGGCAGGTAGGCCCCAGGCATGTAATTCTGAACAAACCCTCTTCAGCAGCTCTTGAGTCAAGCTCTTTTTCAAGGCCAGAGTGGGTGATAAAGTACCTAGTCTTGTGAGGTTTGAGAGTTACTCATGGCCTGTACTCATTTCTCCTTCCATGTGACGGCCTGGTTTCCATGAGGCCGACTTGGGAGAGTCAGGGCGTACAAATCCAGCACTGGGCACTAGCAAAAGGCCTCCAGCTCCAGGGCTTCCCTGGTGGCGCAGTGGTTGAGAGTCCGCCTGCCGATGCAGGGGACACGGGTTCGTGCCCCGGTCCGGGAAGATCCCACATGCCACGGAGCGGCTGGGCCCGTGAGCCATGGCCGCTGAGCCTGCGCGTCCGGAGCCTGTGCTCCGCAACGGGAGAGGCCACAACAGTGAGAGGCCCACGTACTGCAAAAAAAAAAAAAAAAAAGGCCTCCAGCTCCAGTGCTGGCCCTTCCGCTGACTCACCCATGGCCCTAGAGCAATCGTTTGGACAGTCATGCTCTTCATCTCATAATCTGAGGGTCACAGGCATGGAAGACCTCAGCCGAAGTCTTTAGCCTTAGCATTGCCTCTGCCATTTACCGTCTGTGTCATCTCACCCTCCTGCTACTCATCTCTTTACTTGTAAAACAGTAATTAGCCTCCTTTTGGGGTTGCTGTGAAGGTGAATACCCGTGTAGGGCCTGGCTCCCAGCAGTCTCTTAGTGCATCTTAAAGCTATTGTGATGGTAGTTGGTAGTATTCAGTTTATGATTTATGAATCTCGTTTTTCTAACCTGGAATATGGCTAGTAGACTTCTAAGTTGGCTTCTCAGCCACAAACTTTTAATTTTATGAAAAGGTCAGGTGTTAAGGATATAGTTTCAGGAGAGATGGTCATCTGGGTTTCCTAAACTTGAAAAATGGGCGTTAGTGGAAATAAATGACAAAAATTAATATAAATATCAAGAGTTGACTCCTGAGTGATTAGTCAGGTTATATACTATCATTTGTCACAGCGTACTAACTATAAGCAGTATTTTAACTGCAGTTTGAAGATTAACTGTATACTGTCTACTCTGTTTCTTTACTGCTAGAATGGCATGCTTAATTTTCCCACTTTAAGAGGTTAGTTAACGCTTGAAAACAATGCTATGGAAAATTTCTTTGATCTTGTTATTCAAGATATAGAACATGAAACTCATATAAAATAAAACAGGTCCTTTTATATTTAAAGTTGCAGTTATACTCACTTCATATAGTAAAATTTTACTGAGAATTAGATGTTGTTATAAATATTAAGGATGCCCTTAGAACATAACAGGTAAAGTTGTCATCCTCATGGAACTTATAGTCTAATGAAGGTCACACAGTTCTTGCTGATACAAAGCTAATATTCCATGGCTGTGAGTGTGTGTATTGTTCTGTATAAAGCTCAGTGGAGGGCTCAGTGAAAACATGTGTGCAGGGTAAGAAAAGGCTACTCATTTTCCCTGCACAATTGTAGATGTTAAAGTTTCTGTCTTCTTTTGTATTATTTTGATTTTATTATAGTTTTTGTTGTGACCTATTTCAAATATATTTTGAGATGAAGCAAGATAAAAGTTAGTTACCATCCTTCACAGATTCAAAACCCTTCTCGGTCAAACAGCGTCAAGTCCACATTCAAAGTCTTACTGTATATTTTTAGAAGGTCATCCTCTTATGAATGAAATCTGAGAGTTCTATTGTTACCTTTCTTGCTCATTGTTATTAGGTAAATTGTCTGTTGGATAACTTTTTTGAAGTGACTTTCATCGTAAATTTTCAGCACTAGAAAGAAGAAAGCCTATTAAAAATAATTGATTTTGCAGGTTACACGGGTAGTACTATTGTGGGTGAATAATCACTTCAACGACTTCGAAGGGGATCCTGCGATGACTCGATTTCTGGAAGAATTTGAAAATAATCTGGAAAGAGAGGTAATATTGGGGATTTTTAAAAAACAAACCATCAGCTTTAAGTTCATTTGACTCAGCCCGTCTTTGAAACCCCTCCTCTTGAACTCTTGTAGAGAATGGGTGGACATCTAAGGCTGCTAAACATTGCTTGTGCCGCTAAGGCGAAAAGAAGGTCGACGACACTCACAAAGCCATCCCGAGACGCCCCCTTGCCTTTCGTCCTGCTTGGAGGCTCAGAGAAAGGATTTGGCATCTTTGTTGACAGTGTGGATTCAGGCAGCAAAGCAACCGAGGCAGGCTTGAAACGAGGGGACCAGGTATGGTATTTCTGAATGCAAACGCAAGGGTAAATACTGGTGTCTTTTTCTCCTTCAGTCAATTGGGGAACTGAAATTAATCTTATAACTTTATTTTTAGATATTAGAAGTAAATGGTCAAAACTTTGAAAACATTCAGCTGTCAAAAGCCATGGAAATTCTTAGAAATAACACACACTTATCTATCACTGTGAAAACCAATTTATTTGGTAAGTGGTTTACATTTTTTGCATACTTTCATTTTTCTCCTTTTTTTTTTTGGTCTTTTTTTTTTAGCATTTAGGTCTTAATCATGAAAAAAGTCATGTTTATCATTCAAACATCATAAGAATTGAAAATTTATAGTAAAATGCATAGATACAGAATGAATTATGTAAGTGTATAATTAGATCTGAATCAAAATCTACTTACTTGAGGACCATAACATTATTTTTATCGATGTTTTTATTGATAAATATTTCAAATATCTATACATTTAAAGAGTGTACTATTTTAACTTAATCTGAGTAGAAGTGACAGAAGACATACAAAAACAGATTCTTGGTGTCATTTGTTCATTGGAGTAGTGTTTTTCTACAAGATTACCATTTTGATAGCTGAAGTCTGTACTTAGATAATATTTCCAAGTTCTACAATCGCCTTTGAATTGTTCAGATTTCTTATAATGGGCGTTTTGCGGTGTTTGTTTCCTTTTTAGTATTTAAAGAACTTCTAACAAGATTGTCAGAAGAGAAGAGAAATGGTGCCCCTCACCTCCCTAAAATTGGAGACATCAAAAAGGCCAGTCGCTACTCCATTCCAGATCTCGCTGTAGACGTAGAACAGGTGATAGGACTTGAAAAAGTAAATAAGAAAAGTAAAGCCAACACTGTTGGGGGAAGGAACAAGCTAAAAAAGATACTGGACAAGACTCGGATTAGTATCTTGCCACAAAAACCATATAAGTAAGTGTCTGTGTAAGTTTTCTGTACATTATGTTATTGTGTTAAAATGACATGCAAAGGTGGTGATGTAACTGGTGTTTGCACATGAGTGTAAAAAATGTTTTCAAGCTTTTATGGCTGAGCTATCTTAGAAGCGATATTGAACAATTAAGTTTGTTTTAATCCCATTTTTGCCACTTACTTGCCCACTCCGATCTTCATGGAAATATTTTGTTTCTCATTTGGACTTTTAAAAGGCAAGAATATGTGTTTGCTCCCGTCTCCGCCATGGTGTGGCGTCATTTCTGCTCCTGTTTCTTTGTTTCTGGGTGTCTTCTCCACCATCAGCATCCGCTGTGTGCCAGTCAGGTCATGGCTGCTCCCAGTTGGTTCCGTTCACGCTTGCCATTCTCTTGTTTCCTCTCTCTCCTGTTTTCAGTTATTTAACTGTTGCCAAGACATCACCAACCAAGCACAGAACTCCTTTCCTTCCTCCCAGTGGGCTCTGCAGTCAGAATGTCAGGTGTATTCCTGAATCTCTTCTTAGCCGTTTACTTACGCCAGGAGCTCATACCAGACAAAGTTGCAGGTGTCGCACTTTTTTAGCTTTGCTTGTCTGCTTGCTTTTGTCTTCATTTTAGCTCCTTCTGGGTCTGTGCGTGTTCTATAAAACCCAGTTACCATCACCCAAAAATTCTTTAAAGTATTAAATTACACAGGGGCCCCAAATTCATTTATTATTGATTCCTCAAACTACAGAGGTGTAAGAGATAACCTGAAAACATAAAGATTATTTTCTTTCTTTGATAATCTAATGGGTCCTACAGAGGAGCAGCACATGTAAGCATTCAGGAGTGTATCGAGCATTTTTTTTTAATTCCACTTCAGATAAAATTTTCATCCAAAGATTAGAGAGATATGGTCTAGGATGTGCTGTTGATGGGTCGAGTGTCAAACTTGTGTTTTCCCCATTAAACTATAATGATTGGTGGTTTCATATCAGCTAGAAAAGACTGCTACAGCAGAGTCCTGAGGATAAGCAGTGAGTAAGATGGCTTTATTTATAGACTCGAGAGCATGATTATACCAAGTAAGTTTCTAAGAGACAGTGGATTAGGCCTGCTGGCATTATAGAAAATAGGAATCGATTTTTTAAGTGACCCTTCTTGATGAAAAGCTCATTTTTAAGTAGATAAGAAAAGTTACTTCAGTTACTTTAACGTAGAATTATTAGCAGGACGGTAACAAAAAAAATCTTAGAGTCAGTTGACCATGAGTTAAATATGAATCTTTAAAACAATCTAACACAAGTCAGCATGACCCTGCCGAGTATTAATAGAAACGTGACATGTCAGAGCTGGGACGTAATCCATCCCCGGTACAGGGTGCTGGCGAAGGACCCAGGATGAGAATACTATGTATAATGTTATTCTGTGTATTTAGAAAGATATTCAAAAGAGAAAAGAAAAAAGGATAATAATTAGACATGATGATTTTTAAAGCACTGAGGAAACATCTTAAATTTGCCTTGAAGAACATAGATGACTCATTTAAATCTTTTTATGAAATATTAAATATTATTATGAAAATTATTTGAAATAATCCATATATGTAATGTAATTGAAATGAAAAGAATAGTTATATTTAAAAGAAGGCTCAGTAAACTGTAGGATCTATTATATTGGTATGATAGACTTTATTTAATACTAGTTACTACTAAAACTTTTCTCTCCTAGAAATAAGCATATGTTTAGAAAGATTTTTTTTTTGACAAAGCTACCAAAGTAGTCAAGCAGATGAATCTTCTAGTACGTTCTATTTTTTAATTTTTAAATTTGTTTTTTATTTTTTGGCTGCGCTGGTCTTCATTGCGGCATGTGGGCTCTTCGTTGCAGGCTTCTCTTTAATTGTGGCATGTGGGCTCTCTAGTTGTGGCACGCGGGCTCAGTAGTTGCGGTGCACGGGCTCTAGAGCACGCAGGCTCAGTAGCTGTGGCACGCGGGCTCAGTAGTTGCGGTGCGCAGGCTCTAGAGCACGCGGGCTCAGTAGTTGTGGCACACGGGCTTCTCTCTAGCTGTGGCATGAAGGTTTAGTTGCCCCGCGGCACGTGGGATCTTAGTTCCCCGACCAGGGATCGAACCCACATCCCCTGCATTGGAAGGTGGATTCTTAACCACTGGACCATCAGGGAAGTCCCAGATGAATCTTCCAGATATACTGTTTTTTTTTTTTTCTCTCTCAAACATTATCAGTATCACAGAAGCTAAGTTGTTGGATGGTGGCAGCCTGACAAGGACAGGCCCGGAAGAGTGATGTGACTATGGGGTGGGTGGGCAGGAGGCTGGTAAAGCTCGGGTCTGTTTGTCGGGTAAGTGGAGAAAGACTGCAGAACCCTGAGGAAAGAGAGAATAAACCAACAGACTACATATAAAGTTAACCAAGGTCAAAAAATCTCAGTAGCAGTGAGAGAGTTCTAGAGGTCCAGCAACAAGCGAATGTGCTCGGAGGTGGACCTTTCTGAACTAAGCCTTTAATATAAAGTAGTTTCAGTCCAAGAGTAACCCTGCATCTGTGGACGGCAGAGATACAGCTGATAGTAGAGCGTTAGATCATCATGCTTGGTATTGAAACGTTGCTGAGAAACAGCTCGGAAGAAGGCTGCTCGTTGGGGGTTGCCTCGAGTGCGCCAGGATTGATAGCATCTGTGCCAGCAAAGGCCCAGTTGGCTCTGTCTTTGGTCTGAGTCCATAGCAGTTGTCTCATGTACGTATGACATCTAACATTTTTGGCAGTAAAGCCTGGTTTATATGGATGAAAAATAAAATTCCGCTAAAAATGTGAAGGTTTTATTTAATGTTGCATAGCACATGAATCCTTTTTGTCTGTAGATACATGCCTCTGTGCACTTAAATGGAAATTTAATTTTGTTGTGGACTTACCTTTGAATCTTTTTTTAACTGTTAATTGCAATAGAGTTGATTTACAGTGTTGCGTTAGTTTCAGGTGTACGGCAAAGTGATTCCGTTTTATATATACCTACTTTTTAGATTCTTTTCCCATGTAGGTTATTACGAGATATTGAGTATAGTTCCTCAGGCTAAGCAGCCTTGTTGGTTATCTGTTTTATATATAGTAGTGTGTATATGTTAATCCCAGACTCCTAATGTATCCCTCCCCACCTTCCCCTCTAGTTACTGTAAGTTTGTTTTCTATGTCTGTGAGGCTATTTCTGTTTCGTAAATAAGTTCATTTGTACCATTTTTTAATATTCCACATGTAAGCGATATCATAGATAATTCGTTGTTCTCTGTCTGACTTACTTCACTTAGTATGGTAATCTCTAGGTCCATCCCTGTTGATTCAAATGGCATGGTTTCATTCCTTTTTGTGGCTGAGTAATATTCCATTGTGTTTATACACCACGTCTTCTTTATCCATTCATCTGTTGATGGACACTTAGGTCGCTTCCACAACTGGCTATTGTAAAAAGTGCTGCTGTGAACATTGAGGTGCGTGTATCTTTTCAAATTAGTGTTTTCTCCAGATACATGCCCAGGAGTGGGATCGCTGGATCATATTTACCTATGAAGTTTGAAGAATTTACACTAAAATCATCTTTGGTCTTGTGCTTGCTTATTTGCCTCTGTAATTTCCATTTCCCTCCCCAGTAAAGAGGAAGAATGCTGCTAGATTTTGGTAGTTATTTTGATCAAGCTGTCATGTCCGAAAGCCTAATTGATGCTAAGTGTCTTAATTATGGCACCTTGGTTGGTATCCCAACCTTAGTATGATCTTCTTTCTCCTTGTTCAAGGTATTTATAGAGATTTATAGAGATTGGTCAGAGCTTGTGTTCTACTTCTTTCGTGTTTGTTTGTGCGTATCGTTTCATTCTGATGTTTTGTTTTGGAAACAGTTGGCCCTTCAAATCTAGAAATAATGTTATGTATTATTAAACCATGTTTCAAGAGTTGTCCCCAGGCTTTTATAAATGGAAATGAGTTTGTAGCTATCCATAGTAAGTAGTATTTCTCTGGGAGCTTAAACGTAGAACTAGAAATTTTGAGTAGTAAGTTCAAAGTGAAAGTGAGTCATTGGGTTTCCATTGCCTCTTTTTTGATGCCAGGAAATGTCACCATGCACCACTGCTTTTTTAGGCTCTGTATAATTAAGAAATAATGTCTGTGTCAAGCTTTCTTTACATTTGACTCCATCATGATCTCATTTATTTCTCTGAAACACTGGAGAATGAAGTTGGGACAGTTTGGATGTTTTTTTCTCTATTCATTTTTTTACTCAATTTCTTCATTTCTTTAAGATTATAAAACAACTTACCCTTCTGAGGCAGAAGTCATCATTTGAGTGACTGAATGCCTTTTTAAAAATGTGCTTTTTCTTAAATCTATTTCCATGACTAACTAGGGCTTATCTTTTCTGAATATATGTCTGTACTCAGAAACTAATACTAATATTTGTTATGATTTGTCTTAAGCTAAAAAGGCAAAGGTTTTAGAGAAACATGCTACGCAGTTAAGAACATGAGTTGGATACACTTAAGCAGTAGTTGCTTTTGCAAGTTCCAACCGAATTTATTAATGATAGTTGTACGTTAACTGCGGGTTTTCTGAAATACGGTTTATTCATTGTCCGTGCACACTATCTATTGATGAGTCATAACTTTTTACCTTTCCTCTTGGTTCAGTGACATCGGGATCGGTCAGTCTCAGGATGACAGCATAGTCGGATTAAGGCAGACCAAGCACATCCCGACCGCGCTGCCCGTCAGTGGAACGTTATCGTCCAGTAACCCTGATTTACTGCAGTCCCATCATCGCATCTTAGACTTCAGTGCTACTCCTGGTAAGCGTGGCCCACACTGCTTTTGTTTTCTCGTCTCTTTTTCCCCTGACATAACGGTAATGCTGTGTGTATCTCTCCTGGCGTGGCATGGACTCTATCAGATGCTAAAAGTCAGGATAAAATGTAAATTTCCAACAGCTGGAACCAGTTCATCTTTATTCTTCAGACCAATCTGATATGCCCACGTGCAAATGAATCTCTCTGAACTTGCATTCTTTTTCCTAAAATGAAGTTAGCACGTACCATGCAGGTATCACCAGGTCATGTTAAGTAAAGAGTTCAGAGGCATATTTTCAGTCCGCTTCCTGGGCTCTTCAGTGTAATAAAGATGCCAGCCTGACCACCCTGCACGCCGCCCTTGGGACCTGATCTGTTTGCCTTTGTCTGTGGGTAATGTGACTATCTTTAGGCAGATGTGTTCATGCAGCGTGCCTGTATGTTGACTAAGTGAATCTTTGCAGGAGGGTTGAAGTAAGGGAGAGATGACAGTTTAGCATCATCTTCTCTGAGGAGACGCTTTCAGGTGGCATTCCTTGATTGTATTGCCAGGTCCTGAAATCCTTTCTCCTGGCTCTTCTTTCCCCCAGACTTGCCAGATCAAGTGCTAAGGGTTTTCAAGGCTGACCAGCAAAGCAGATACATCATGATCAGTAAGGACACCACGGCGAAGGAGGTGGTCATTCAGGCCATCCGGGAGTTTGCTGTGACCACCACCCCGGATCAGTACTCACTCTGTGAGGTCTCTGTCACACCAGAGGGAGTGATCAAACAACGACGACTTCCGGATCAGCTTTCCAAACTCGCCGACAGAATACAGCTGAGTGGAAGGTAGACGTCATCTATCCTGTTGGATTTCTTTACCCCATCCTTAAACCCACACCAGAGTCTGGTGAACGCTTTCTAAGGGTTTTTAAAATAAGTTGCAGATTAAAAGCAAGATTTTCCCCATTCACCAAGCATTGCCGTATCAAAGGAAATGCACACAGTAGACTGTGGACCCCTTGCAAGGATCTCTTAGGAGCTCGTGCAAAACAAGGGTGCTGTGACCTGACCGTTGTCACTGCCGGCCAGCGCTCACGCTCCCATAAGGACGTGCAGGAGGGCATCTCCCTTCTCCTGGCAGACGCACCTTCACAAACACATCTTCCACTAGTATCCTCTGTCACCCGCTCCTGCCTACTGGACTTTTCCAGGAGCTTCGTTTGTTTACGCGGAGATGTCTGTGACAGTGTGGCTGGCTGAAACTGCCTGTTATTGTTCATGACACCATGAAAAACCCTTCTTAACTCTGGAACCAAAGCTCATTTGCCTCAGAGTGTGGTCTGCTGCTGCTTGGTCTTCAGAGCGCTTCTGTCACACAGTACTCGTAGGAAAATATCGTATGGGGTCTTGTCAGCCTCTTGCATGGTGTTTCCATTGATAAAATGTAATTGATAGCCTCAAATCACAAATAAGGGAAAGTTGAAAAAGTAGTTCGGTTTTGGCTCTCGTATAATGACTAGATTCGGCACTTACTGAAAATTGTTTTCATAAGTCACGTTTTTTCTTTTTTTCTTGCCATACGGAGTGTTTCATTGTATTCTTTTTTTTTTTAATTTATTTATTCATTTACTTATTTTTGGCTGTGTTGGGTCTTCATTTCTGTGCGAGGGCTTTCTCTAGTTGTGGCAAGCGGGGGCTACTCTTCATCGCGGTGCGCAGGCCCCTCACTGTCGCGGCCTCCCTTGCTGCGGAGCACAGGCTCCAGACGCACAGAGCTCAGTATTTGTGGCTCACGGGCCCAGTTGCTCCGTGGCACGTGAGATCTTCCCAGACCAGGGCTCGAACCCGTGTCCCCTGCATTGGCAGGCAGACTCTCAACCACTGCGCCATCAGGGAAGCCCTCATTGTATTCTTGACTTCTTCGTGTTATGCATCTAAACCTGGTTTAATTCATTCAGAGCTTCTGCGTTCTTGCTGTCAACTATAACTTCCTTTGTCTTCTTCACTTTCACTTTATTTCCAGCCCTGACACTAGTGGATAGGGTTGTTTTAGGAGGCCCATTGTCTCGTTATCATTTGCATATGCATTGACCTATGTGTAATCTTGGTGGAGTTCTCCAAATCTCACTGAGGTGCAGAGTCATGATTCACAGTCAGTATTCAAGAAAATTGCAAATGGATTCACATCGTGGGCTTCGTGAGTAATCAAAACTGAGAACGTGGGCTTCCCTGGTGGCACAGTGGTTGGGAGTCCACCTGCCGATGCAGGGGACACGGGTTCGTGCCCCGGTCCGGGAGGATCCCACATGCCGCAGAGCTGCTGGGCCTGTGAGCCATGGCCGCTGAGCCTGCACGTCCGGAGCCTGTGCTCCACGACGGGAGAGGCCACAACAGTGAGAGGCCCGCATACCGCCAAAAAAAAAAAAAAAAAAAAAAAATTGAGAACGTGAAATCTGTGAGGGTCAAGGTCCCGAGGTCTGTGTCTTCGGCGATATATGCAGAAGGCCAGTTTAGCAGGACCACCCTGCTCATTCTGTTCCTTCCTTTATGGAATCTGGCTTAAGGAGAGCATCTTTGTATAAAATCGGGGAAAAAAAAAAATCACAGGGCAAACATCTGGATTCTGTTTCTGTCAAGTCACTTAACGGAGAGAAAGGAGCGCTAACCCTGAGCTTTCTCTCTACAGCTGGCGTACATCTCTGGGAGCCTCCGTTTCCTCATCTGACAAATAGGAATAATACCTGTCCCACTTCCTTGGAGGGTTTTCGTGAAAATCAGATATTTGAAAGTTAAAATCTATTTTTAGGATCGTTCTCCTCATAGGATCAAATAGAGGGAAATAGCTTACAGGTTTCTTTGGTATTTGAATAAATAGGTTGGATTGATCAATCTTTCCTGTTTCCTTCCGTAGAGCTTTTTTCATTATTTAAACTGATAATTTTTTAAATTTAGCTATTTTCTGTCCTTTTTAGCAAAAAAAAAAGGTAATCTAGAAGGCAGGGAAGGACGAGACAAAATGGATTGCACCTGGTACAGATGCAATTCCACGTGATGCGTTAGTTTCTGTCGGTGGCTTCTGGGCCGGGTTCTGTGATCTGGTGACCGAGGAGCTGCTGCCTTCTCTGTCCTTCCATCATTCAGCGGAGTGTTCTCACCACCGTTCAGCAGACAGCATCGTTCTTTCAAGGAGTGTCGTGAGACTGCTGCTCAGGCTCTGAATTCTGTGTCTCTCACAGGTATTACTTGAAAAACAACATGGAGACAGAGACCCTTTGTTCGGATGAAGATGCTCAGGAGCTGCTGAGAGAGAGTCAGATCTCCCTGCTGCAGCTCAGCACCGTAGAGGTGGCCACGCAGCTCTCCATGCGGAACTTTGAGCTCTTCCGCAACATCGAACCCACTGAGTATATCGATGATTTATTTAAGCTCAGATCGAAAACCAGCTGTGCCAACCTGAAGAAATTCGAGGAGGTCATTAACCAGGAGACGTTCTGGGTAGCCTCTGAGATTCTGCGGGAGACGAACCAGCTGAAGAGGATGAAGACCATTAAGCATTTCATCAAGATCGCTCTGCACTGCAGGGAGTGCAAGAATTTTAACTCCATGTTTGCCATCATCAGGTAAGAGCATATTTGTCGTGAGGTGCGATTCAGTTTGCAGATTTAAAAATGCATCAATCCCTGAAAAGCATAGACTCTGTGTGAGTGTAGTAGTTTTTAATTGCATCATGTGGAACAATTCTTTTTCTCTGAATCCTAATCTTAATCCTTAATTTAAAATCTCTTGTAATGGATGGACCTAGAGATGATCGTACTAAGTGAAGTAAGCCAAAGACGAATATCATATGATATTGCTTATGTGTGGAATCTTAAAAATATATATATATATATATATAAATGAACCTATTTACAAAACAGAAACAGACTCACAGACGTACAAAACACATGTATACTTAGCAAAGGGGGAAGAGGTTGGCGAGGGGTAAATCAGGAGTTTGGGATTAACAGATACACACGACTATATAGAAAATAGATAACCAACAAGGACCTACTGTGCAGCACAGGGAACTCTCCTCAGTATTTTGTAATAGCCTATAAGGGAAAAGAATCTGAAAACGAATAGATATATTCTTTTTATATATAGATAGAATAGATATATATAGATTGTGTGTGTGTGTGTGTGTGTGTGTGTATGATGAATCACTCTGCTGTGTATACCTGAAACTAACACAACACTGTAAATCAGCTGTACTTCAAAAAACATTCTCTTTTATGCTAATTTAAAGCCCAGAAAATCTATATTCACCACTTTTTTAGCTCTGTGACTTTGGGCAAATTATTTGAACTTCTCCGAAAGTCAGTTTATTTCTCTATAAAATAACAGTGACCCAAAGAGTTATCAAGTAGACTAAGTGACACAACGTATGTGGCGTTCCATCAGCCAGCACAAAGCAGGGGGATGCCTAGTAAATGTTACTTTTCTTCCCTTTTAAGTGCTTAGACTGAGGCTGGAAGAAAGTGCAGACTGAAACAATGAGCAATATTGACGTTGATGGTGATGATTCAGTTAGTCATTTTTTCTGTCTAGGAGTTTGATCATGCTCTTGTTGGTGTGTTTTTTTTTTTTTCCTACATGGCGTATAGTTGCTTTATAATGTTATAGTTTCTGCTGTACAGCGAACTGAATCATTGATACGCGTACATATATCCCCCCTTTTTTGGATTTCCTTCCCATTTGTGTCACCACTGAGCACTGAGTAGAGTTCCCTGTGCTCTACAGTAGGTTCCCGTCAGTTGTCTATCGTATACATAATATCAATAGCGTATACATGTGGATCCCAATCTCCCATTCCTCCCCTCCCCCCGCTTTCCCCCTTGGTATCCATACATTTGTTCTCTACGTCTGTGTCTCTATTTCTGCTTTGTAGATAAGATGGTCTATACCAGTTTTTTCAGATTCCACATATATGCGTCAATGTACGGTATCTGTTACTCTTCTGTTCTTATGGCTTTTGTTTCATGTTACAACTCTAGGATATTTGTCCCGTCTGTTTTATCAGACGGCTGCTTGGCACCAAGCACTTTACGTACGGAGAGGAAGCAACGAAACACAGCCCTGCCCTCAGGACACCTGGCATTCCAGTTGTTCTGCCCACAGTAAACAGACCGCGAGGGTGTAAAGGGAAAAAGAGTAAAACCCCTCGGCCCTGTCCCTGGTTCCAGCTTCAGGTCTCATTACCCAGAATCATTAGCACTCTTATGAATCCTGTACTTGGCTCTGCATACACAGCGCTCACACAGAGCTGTTACATGTTAAGAAATAAACAGCATGCTCTTCTGCTTACTTCGTAAGGATGAGTCATTTAATTTTATACCGCTTCTCTTTTTTCCCCCTCAGCGGCCTAAACCTGGCACCGGTGGCAAGACTGCGAACCACCTGGGAAAAACTTCCCAATAAATACGAAAAGCTGTTTCAGGATCTCCAAGACCTGTTTGATCCTTCCAGAAACATGGCAAAATACCGCAATGTCCTCAACAGTCAAAACCTACAGCCTCCCATCATCCCCCTGTTCCCAGTGATCAAGAAGGACCTCACGTTCCTTCACGAGGGTAAGTGTAAGTTGGAGGATTTCTGTCTCCACTTGTGGAGGCGTCGGGTAAATGCCATGTGATTCCCTTTTCCTTTTTGCCAATTACAGGGAACGACTCCAAAGTCGACGGGCTGGTCAATTTTGAGAAGCTAAGAATGATTGCAAAAGAAATTCGTCACGTTGGCCGAATGGCCTCTGTGAACATGGACCCTGCCCTCATGTTCAGGACTCGGTGAGTGTGTCCCCCTCAGCAGTGCTCGCGGGGTTAGAGAAGGTTGAGCTTAGCGCTTCCTAGTAAATGAGAAGATTTTGAATAGGCCCGCCTGTAGCATGGTGACATGTACCAGGCTGTGTGGGGAATCTCCGTCGAGCTCTGATTGGGAATGACTGTGATCCCACATCCAGTGCACTGTGGGCTGTCGTGAAAACAGTTGGTCCCTCTGACATTTTTCACTGAACGTGAGGCACAGCTATTTTTATTTTTCAGAACGCTGACTTGCAGAGCTAAAAGGTGTAATGGATAGTATGAACTAAAATATATAAACAATCCGAACAGTATTGTCTCACTGCCCACACAAGGGATTTAGCCGTCAGTGTAGCCGAGAATGATGAATGCAGTGAAGGAGAGAACAGAAGTCTTTAGAAGCAAATATTTACATATGTTTGTCTTTTGAGCCAGAAAACTGTTGCTGGTCCAGTTGTTTGTGTGAGGAGGTTTGTGGGCTTCTAGTACTGCTTGTCCAGAAGTCTAGTCCTTTCTTTCTGAGCTTGTGATCTCTCTGTCTCTCTCTACACCCATGCTTCAACCTCCACGGCTCTCACTTACAGGAAGAAGAAGTGGAGGAGTCTGGGGTAAGTGGCGGGGACACTGCACACCCACACTGTTCTCGTCCCGCTCGTGGCATTGTTTTCTTACCTGCTGTGTTTTCTGATGCTTTGCATTTTTGCATTTTTTTCCTAACCCTCTTGCTCTAGCAGAATTTCAGTTGGCAAACTGACTTCAAGTTTCATCTACTGGGGCTTTTGCTTTCGAGGTCATGACCCAAGAGAGCTGTGAAATGATTGATGATTGTTCTGGGGAGCAGTAGGCCAGGCCTACTCCTGAGCTTTCAGAAAGACTTCATTTTAATATAATTTGTGTGTTTTGAAATGAGAAAAATCTAACCTGGGGTGAGGGGAGAAAGGATGTCAGAAGGAAAAATTGTGCAGTTTAAACGCTATTGCACAGATTTTTGAGAAGTAAATCTATGTCGTACAAAAGGTGCCCCTCGGTGTTAAAACTAAATTTTTTACAGCTCAACTAACTACTGTTTTCATCCTATAAACCAACTCTTTTCAAAAATAATTCTTAACAACTCATGTGCTAGTTTCCATACATGTGTTTTCACATTTGCATGACCATTTTATTAACAGATTGACCATATTACTTGACGAACTCACTACATTTAACCCAAGCAATAAGAAAACAATCGTGAACATTGTAATTTCTTTAAATTTATGTAAGACATCCTCTTTAGGACAAAAAAGATTAATGTCACTCTTAATGATTGCAGCTGTGTGTTTATTCTTGCATGAGCTTTTACGTATAATCATTATTACTTGCTGGCTCCTACGAGAGAGCTGTCTTGAATGCTCTATAGAGGCGAAAAGTAGAATTTTCTAGTTGGAACAGAACAAGTGCCAAACATACATGTGTATGTAGAGTGTATGTAGGATTCTTCTCAAACTTGAAAAAAATTTTTTTGATCTGTATGATTCTCTATTCCTTTGTAAAGTTTACTTACCAGAATGAGGCATGTGGCCTTCTGAACGTAGACTCTTTGTAGGTGTCTGGGCACGTTTCCAGGAGATACAGGGATCCCATGCTGGGGCGAGCTGCAGCTCTACCTTTTCGTCTTCCAGGTCTCTCAGCCAGGGTAGTACAAACGCAACAGTGCTAGACGTTGCTCAGACAGGTGGTCACAAAAAGCGGGTGCGTCGTAGCTCCTTTCTCAATGCCAAAAAGCTGTACGAGGACGCCCAGATGGCCCGAAAGGTGAAGCAGTACCTGTCCAACTTGGAGCTGGAGATGGACGAGGAGAGCCTCCAGACGTTATCCCTGCAGTGCGAGCCGGCCACCAACACATGTGAGTTTCTCCTTAAGGTGGCTGCCGGGTCCGGCTGGAATGCAGACTGGTTTCCTGTGCCGATAAAGCAGGGCTGGGCCCAGGGGGAGCTAGCATCCTGAGGCACGCTCGCCTTTCCCTTGAAGGCGGCTCTGGGGACCGCGCGGCGCCGTCCTGGGCTGAGCCCCGTCCGTGCCCAGCGGGGTTCGCATGGGGACCACGACACCGTAGGCTTCTTCGGGGGTGACCGGCTTTGGTTTCATCCCGACGCAGCCAGAGTGCCGTCAGGGGACACAGGGGCAGGTGCAGCTCCCATTTGCATCCCTTGTTCTCTCACAAAGATACTTGCCAAGTGATGGGCAGCCTGGGAGCGGCACAGAGCTAGGTGCGCTGGCTGCGTCTGACCCCTTCAGCTCGGCCGGCACTTGGCAATGAGTTCAGCTACCGTGTAAGGCAGGAATTCTCCACAGGGAACCACAGCTCAGCCTAATGTGTAGCTCCCCAGCCTTTGAAAGTCCGGCCAGGCCAGAAACGGGGGCTACGTTCTCTTTCTCGGCATCCGTATTTGTAAGACAGAGGCGTTTTCCGTTTAGGACACTTCGGGGTCTTTTATGGGCAAGTTTGAAGATACTTTCTATAGGACTTAAATGTTAGGTCATTTGAGAAAGATTCAGGTTATCAGACGTACCCAGGACACTCTTAAAGCACCGTGTGTCGTGGTGAAGAGTTTGTCCTCAAGAGGGAGAGGGGTCTGAGTTCAGATCCTGTTTGTTCCTTGTACTAACAGTGTCACCTTAGGCCGGTTACTTGAGCTCCATTATGTGTAAGATGGGGGAAGGAAGTCATTGAGTTGTCTTCAGTGTGAATACATTTAAAATACAGCATTTAATTGCCCTGTTAAATTGGCTTGCTTTCCATCTGCCGCGGAATTATACACTCAGTACAGTGCTCAAGGAGTATTGGCTGCTATTAGCAACATAGATAATTCTACCCCATTGGAGAGAGAATTTGATAGTGACAAGACTGCAGCTAGTATCATCTGCTACATTAAAACTAAGCTCATATATGTCAAGACATTTTGGGTGTCATTTTAGAAAAATAATTCCTAGTGGTCTTCCTGTTGTAGCTTGTATAATAGGTTTGTGTTTTTCATAGACATACGTACAGCGTACTGAGCTATCCACATTTTGCGTTTCTTTTTAAATGTGGTACTTGAAACAGTATCATCTCTTGAGACAGCTTGTTTCATAAAGTGAATCTTGGTTCCGTCGCGCCTTCTTTCTGTGACGGAGGCTCTCCCCCCGCCCGCCTCTGTTTCTCTCCTTTATCTATGGGCCACAGGGGAAAAAAAGATACATATTTCAGTGTTCTAACTGTAGGAAATGCTCCTGCAGTTGTAAAAGTATCCCGTGTGTGGCCACTAACTTCTTAAACTTCTCGTTCTGTTTTCACACCGAACAATTACCAGTGCCTAAGAATCCCGGTGACAGAAAGCCTGTCAAGGCCGACACCTCCCCGGTGGCCCCGAGGGCAGGGCTGCAGCCGAAGCCGCCACCGCAGGCTCCGCAGCCGTCACAGAGGCCCAGCCCGGGGCTGCAGCTTCCCGCCGTGCCCCTCTATCCTTCGCGGAAGAAAGTGCCCCTACGGGATCTCCCGCCTTTCGGTAGGTGACTAAGTTCGTGCACACTTTTTTTTTTTTTCCCCTCTTAATTTACTTTCTGTTGAAGTAGAGTTGAATTACACTGTTGTGTGACTACAGTCAGTTAATCTTTGACAAAGGAGGCGGGAACATGCGGTGGGGAAGCGACAGTCTCTTTGGCGAGTGGTGCTGGGAAAGCTGGACGGCCGCCGCATGCAAATCAGTGACGTCAGGACACATGCCCTCGCGGCCGGCGCAAAAGCATGAACTCACAATGGCTCACAGACTTCAACGGAAGACAGGACACCATGCAACTCCCGGAAGAGAACACAGGCAAAACATTCTCTGACATAAATCGTAGCAGTGTTTTCTTAGGTCAGTCTCCCAAGGCAATGGAAACAAAAGCAAAAAATAAACAGATGGGACCTAATGAAGCTTACAAACTTCTGCTCAGCGAAGGAAACCGTAAACAAAACGAAAAGACAGCCCGTGGGCACTTCCCTAATGGCGCAGCGGTTAAGACTCCGCGCTCCCAGTGCAGGGCGCCCGGGTTCTATCCCTGGTCCGGGAACTACATCCCCACATTGCATGCTGCAACTGAGAGTTCTCATGCCACAACTAAGGAGCCCCCGAGCCGCAACCAGGGAGCCCACCTGCCACAACTAATACCAACACAACCAAATAAATAAATATTAAAAAAAAGAAGAAGAAGAGGCAACCTTTGGTCTGGGAGAACATATTTGCAAACAATGTGACCGACAAGGACTTAATTTCCAAAATATACAGACGGCTCGTATAACTCGACAACAAAAAAACAAACAACCCACAACCCTCTTTTGGAGCTGTTCGTTCACTGCCTGCTTCTCAGACTAGGAAGCGATACTTATCACGGGTAACTTCATCTGGTATACTTGAGTGTCCCTCTGGTTGTTCCCTCTTTATAAGACATTAATGTTCACAGAGTTAAACTTTACTTTTACCCGTGAGAAGGACTGTTTTCATAGAGCATCTCATTTAATCATGCTCGTTTGTCATAGCAGTGGAGGCAAGGCATGCCATGGGAAAATTATGCTATTACTCATTTAATTTTTAACAAGTACAGAGGCTGTTTTGTCCATATACCTTGTTTAAACTAGCTTTGCCTCATGATCAGTGAGTTGCTGGAATTTAGGCGGAATATTTTTAAGTGAAATGATTCGTCTGGAGGCGAACTCTCATTTGTTGAATCACTGATTCTGTAACTTGGGAGGAAAATACAGTCAGTTCGTGAATGTTAAAGGAGCCAAAGCAGGGACTTCCCTGTTGGTCCAGTGGTAAAGAATCCGCCTTCCAATGCAGGGGATAGGGGTTCAATCCCTGGTCGGGGAATTAAGATGCCACATGCCGCAGAGCAGCTAAGCCCATGAGCCACAACTACTGAGCCCACGTGCCACAACTACTGAAGCCCACGCACGTAGATCCCGTGCTCCGCAACAAGAGAAGCCACCGCAATGAGAAGCCTGCGCACCGCAGTAAAGAGTAGCCCCCGCTCGCCGCAACTAGAGAAAGCCCGCGTGCAGCAACGAAGACCCAATGCAGCCAAAAATAAAAAAATACTTACATTGTTCCCCCGTCACAAATGAACTGAATTAGTGTTCCTTTGTCCACTGTTTTGTTTTTTTAAAAATTATTATTTATTTTTTGGCCGCACTGCGCGGCATGCGGGATCTTAGTTCCCCGACCAGGGATTGAACCCGTGCCCCCTGCAGTGGAAGCGTGGAGTCTTAACCACTGGACCACCAGGGAAGTCTCTCCACTGTGTTGTTAATATTCTTATATTCCCAAGTCCCCCGTAAGCCGACCTCTACTGCCTCTTTTCTGTCGAGCTTCTGATATGGACACAGCCTGTTAACCCCCATGTAGGTGTACCTGATGGAAAGCCATCCCCAGCCCCCTTCCCCAGAGAGACTCTCTCTCCAATATTTTTAGGCCTGTTTGAATTTATGACCTTTAGAAATGCGGATGGGATAGTCATGTGTCTTCTTAGGATAGTTTCACATTTAAAGTCACAGAATATAACATAGTAACTTAGAGATGCTGGGCCCACCCCCATTCATGAAATAAATTTTGTCTGAATGCTTCCTGTATTTTTCACTTCAGTGTCTTCGTCATCCCTAGAGCTACTTTTGAAGTGGAACAGATTTTTCTGAGGCATAGCATCTTCACATCCATCTTCACTGTTTGAAGGCAGCACTTTTTGAATCTGTGAATGATGCTGGCTTGGAAATCTTTTCCAAATCAAGGCTATTCATTCGTGTAGCTTTAGTGTAGCTGGTATTTTCATGTACCCTGTATATATCAGTATCTGCACACGTAATTAAAAGATTGCTTGAAAAGCCATTTTTAAAAGATTGTATTAAAGTAGTATCGCACACTTACAGGTGTTGAGGTGAAATGAAGAATTAGGTCTCCGTTAAATTTCATTGCCTCCTTTTTAATGGATTCTGTTAAGTCTGAGAACATAAAAACTAACATTCACTGAGGTAGTGTCAACCTGTAATGCCTTCCCTCCGGTCTCTTTGTTGTTCAGAATGAGGTAACTGAGAGTGCCTCATAATGAGGCTTAGAAAACATCTCTTAATGTGACTCCCTCATTCCTGAAAGTAAAATTTTAGGGGAAAAATCACCTGGTATTGGCACATGGAATCCTTTTTCTTCCGCCCTACGTCATCCGACTAGATCGTGCACTTGGCGCTGCGCTGGATGGCTTCCCCCTCCGCGCCCCTTTACCGCACTCCTGGGAGCCCTCCCCGGTGGCCTGCAGGACGCTTCTGGGACCGGCACTCTCTGGGTCCCCTCCTGCCTTCTCTGCCATCCGCGTACTGATCAAATACTGGCCTGATTGCTTAGCGCCCCATCAGTCTGTTTTCTCGCTACTTCCTTTGGGCTCTTGGCTTTCCCTCCATCACTCCCACGTCCCATGAGCTAACTTTTCCAACACCACCAAAATACCTGTTCCCAACCCAGACTTGAGTTCTGATAAATCTTCTGAGCTGCGCCGCTCTCACCCTGACCCAGAGTATTTCCAGATCATCTCTTTGTTTCTTCATCGCTGCCTGATGTATTGTTGAAGAGGGTGGTGGTCGCGGTTTGGAACCCAGAGTGGAATGGCAGCAGCAGCCTTTCTGGTCCTCGGCAGGTGTCAGCAGACACACGGCGGGCACCTGGTGCCCCCTGCGATCTCACTGTTTACACGGGCAGAGTACAGAGGCCATCGAGCCTGGAAACAACCTGCCACGACATGTGACATTCAATCTTAACACAAAAAAAGTGGTTTTGTTCTTCACGGTAGTCTTTTCAGTCTTGGAAATGCATGTTGAAATCATTTTCTTTCTCTTACAGGTATAAACTCTCCACAAGCTTTAAAGAAGATTCTTGCTTTGTCTGAAGAAGGGAGCCTTGAGCGCCACAAGAGGCCGGCAGAAGACACGGTATCGGATGCGTCCTCCCGGTTCTCCTCCCCGCCGACCTCCCCGCAGAGCTCGCCAAGGAAAGGTGACTGGGTGACCCCTCTTCTCCTTCATGGGGACCTGTGCTTTCAGCTGTGATCAATTCTAGTTAGAGATTACATCACTTCTGACATTAGAGTCGTTCGAAATGACCTTGGGAATTTGCTGGCGGTCCAGTGGTTAGGACCCCATGCTTTCACCGCCAAGGGTGTGGGTTCGATCCCTGGTCGGGGAACTGAGATCCTGCAAGCCGCACAAGTGCCCCCCCCAACCCCCGCCAAAAAAAAAAGACACGATATGTAACACCCAATGGATTTTTTTTTTCTCCTCAGTTTATAAATTTGGAAGAATTTTGGTACTTTTTAATATTATAGTTATAAATAAATAGTGTCAAGCTTATATAACTATATAAGCCCCTTCAAAAATTCATTTTTTTACTGATTGTAAGTGTGGAAATAATTCTTTTTATACTAACAGTTGTTCTAACTAAATATAATTACATAGCATTCATCACAGAGTAGAGGCCTATAAAAACATAAGAAAAACTACTATCTTCCTGATTTATCTTTCATTGTGTTAACATGAGTCTGGATTATCTTTTTTGTTGCTATCTTGTTTTATTTTTAAGGAGATTAAATTTTAGGCACTCAAACTCTCCTTCTGATATTAATGCTTTCTTATCTTAAAATACTAGATCACTTTCTGCTGCATAACCTCGGGGTTACTTTCTCCCCACCCTATAATTGAATGGGCGTAAGTAAGCCGGTAATAAACGGCCAGGACAGTTTTCACTAGACGAGGCCAAAGAGATTAATCCGTTGTTAGATTTCACCGGCACAACAAGTACCTTTCCTGCTTTACTTTTCAGCTGTCTCAGACATGTGTGCGTTCTATGGGGGTATCAGTCTCTAGTCCTTGTTCAGTGGGTGCGTCTGAATTCTTCTCTCGTCCGTCGTTGGGTGGCAGTGGCAGTCAGCTGAGATCGTTTGGCTGCGGGCAGTTGGACTAAACCAGCTCCCCATCTTCTCGTGGAAGCGAGAACAGTAGCAAGAATAACGGTGCACCACGGACCTACGGGATAGGTGGGCCAGCAGGAAAAACGGGAAGGGGTCATCTCATTAGCTGAGGAAACTGGGACGATTCCTCCCCATGCCACATGCTCCACCTGAGGGATTATTTCTCTAGAGATTTTGTTTTTTGCGGGGTGGGGCGTAGACTGTTCAGGGAGGGTTTGAAATCTTGTCTGTCAGAACCTGCAGCGTGGTTTATAAGAAGACATTTCATAGGTGAACACGTGAAATCTTATCAAGACCTGTGCAACCTTTTAAAAAAATAAATCAGGAATTCATAATTTACTGAAAGGATGGGGAAGTACTCTTCAGAGAGTAAATCAGCAACATTTAGGTGCTCTAGATGGCATTGTTTTATTAGGTTTTCATTGGGTACATATAATCATATAAAATCAGTAAAAAATAAATGAATACTGAGAAAGGAGTATTTGGATTTTTTTGTTAAAGATGTCAAGACAAGCCTCTCTTCCTTTGTGACTTTCAGTTTTAGCAACAAAGAGTTAAGCGTCCTTCAGGCCAAAAAATGGACATCTGTTTAGACATAGTGACGGTCCAGGGAGAAAAAATGGAGATTTTGTACATTATGTCCTTCAAAACAATTGGCTTTCATGTGATTTATCCAATATATTATTAATGCTGAAAAATCAAATGGCAAAAATCCAAAGATATCTTCTTCAAGTCTTATTTCTTATTCATACATGTCCATTTAAAATTATAATGCAGGGGGCTTCCCTGGTGGCACAGTGGTTGAGAGTCCGCCTGCCGATGCAGGGGACACAGGTTCGTGCCCCGGTCCGGGAGGATCCCACGTGCCGCGGAGCGGCTGGGCCCGTGAGCCATGGCCACTGAGCCTGCGCCTTTGGAGCCTGTGCTCCGCAACGGGAGAGGCCACAGCAGTGAGAGGCCCGCGTACCACCAAAAAAAATTATAATACAGGGACTTCCCTGGTGGTCCAGTGGTTAAGACTTAGTGCTCCCAATGCAGGGGGCACGGGTTCGATCCCTGGTCTGGGAACTAAGATCCCATATGCCTCACAGCGTGGCCAAAATAAATAAATTAATTAATTCAAAAAAACAAAAACCCAACATTAAAAAATAAAAATACAATGCAGATCTTTCCAGTGGAGTTATTCTATGCTGTAAAGTTCTAAAAGTGAAAACTCCATTGAAAACAAAATTACTACTGACTTTGCAGGTTGAGAAGAAAACCACACTTTTAAATATCATCCTAGTCATTCTTCATAGTTTCGTTTACATAGACTAATGTAGTGTAAGTTATAGTTCAGAGAGCAGCGTCTAGTCGTGCCGTGATCCCGTCTGCATCCATTCCTGGGTCATACGACAGTGTGTTCTTTTTTCCTCTCTAAGCTTTCATCAAACACACTGAACTGCAATTGAGTAAAACTTGACTGTAGCTCAGTCCCCGAGTAGAGTGTTTTCTCCCCAGTTCCGCGGCGGCACCTATGGCCTGCATTCTGGTTTTGCTACTGAGGAGACGTCAGCTGGACGCCGTGAACCCTCGGTGTCTAAGGACTGATGTGTTTCCCACGCAGGCTACACTTTGGCTCCGAGTGGCACCGTGGATAACTTCTCAGATTCCGGCCACAGCGAAATCTCCTCACGGTCCAGTATCGTCAGCAACTCCTCCTTCGACTCGCTGCCCGTCTCGCTGCCCGACGAACGGCGCCAGAGGCCATCGGTCGGCACTGTGGAGACCAGCCTGGCCGCAGGCCGGCCGGAGAGGCGGCCGGCGGGGGAGCCCGACCAGTGCAGCCTGGGGTAGGGGCTCGTCCGTGTGCTCGCTCCTCTCGCGCGCGTGTGCGGGGCTGTTCACGGGACGCCCAGGGGTGCTCTCCCAGCCCGGTTCTGACGCTCACCATTTCCCGATCACGAAGCGTCACGCAGACTGCTTTCCCAGTGAGGTCCGTCCTGCGCTGGGACACGTTTGCTCTGCGCTGAGGGCAGGGGGCGACTCAGTCCAATGAGCTGCTTTCCCGAAATAGTCAGATTGTAGTGAACACTGTAAGGAAAGTGCTCCTTTACTGTAAGCAGGTCAGTGCTCCTTTCCCCCGTGTTGATATTGTGGTGACGTCACAGGGGAGGAAACTGGACAGGGCCGAGTGGCCACTGTCACTCAGTCTGGTGGGGCCTAATCCTCTTTCTGGAAGGAAAGGAGGCCGCCTTTCGAGGAAAAAGTGGTTGCGTTTTAGCACAGAGTTATTAGTTAACAACCTTGGCCTTTCCCCTCTCCCCCCCCCCCCCCCCCCCCCCCCCCCCCCCCCTCCTCCCCCCTCCCCTCCCCTCCCATCTCCCCTCCCATTCCCTCCCCTCTCCTCTCCTCCCCTCCTCTACTCTCTTGTCCCCTCCCTCTCCCCTCCCCTCTTATCTGGCCCCCCTCCCCCCTCCCCTCCCCTCCTCTTCTCTTTATTATTTTTTTTTCTTTGTTTCCCTTTGGCCGCCTAGGTCCTGTGCACCGCTGTCTGAGAGCCGGGGCCTGTACGCTGCAGCTACAGTGATCTCTTCTCCCAGCACAGAGGAGCTTTCCCAAGACCAGGGGGACCGAGCCTCACTTGACGCTGCCGACAGCGGCCGAGGAAGCTGGACGTCGTGCTCCAGCGGCTCCCACGATAACATCCAGACCATCCAGCAGCAGAGGAGCTGGGAGACGCTCCCCTTCGGGCACACTCACTTCGATTACTCAGGGGACGCCGCAGGGTTATGGGCCTCGAGCAGCCACGTGGACCAAATCATGTTTTCCGACCACAGCACAAAGTACAACCGGCAGAGTCAGAGCCGAGAGAGTCTCGATCAAGCCCAGTCCCGGGCAAGCTGGGCCTCCTCCACGGGGTACTGGGGAGAAGACTCGGAGGGGGACACGGGCACCATCAAGCGAAGGGGGGGGAAGGACGTTTCCCTCGAAGCTGAGAGCAGCAGCATGATGTCTGCGAGCGCCGAAGAAGCCAAGCCCGTCGCCATGGCTGCCCACGTGGCCGTGCCGCCCAGCGCCACCAAGGGGCTTATCGGTAAGCTGACCGCGGGCTCTGTCGTGTCTGGGTCGTGGCTGCACCCTGACTTATTTCAAAAGTGAAAGCATGTGTTTGCGGTCCTCCTCCTCATTCTGCCCCACCCATTGCCGTGTAGGCCTTCCAAGTTAGCAGTGCACTCAGGATTTTGAAATGAATGGTGGTTAAGACTCCAGGTTCTGTGGTCAGGTGCTTATAAATACTCTGCAGCAGTCAACCTTCCATGCACCGTAGCTGTCGGGATCAGTAGGTTGTCCTTATGGGTGTTACCTGCTCTGACGTTGATCTTCTCAGCTGAAAATTATCAGGAAGGATGGCCATTCTCTCTAGAGGAAGAATATTTTTTTGTTTAATTGGAACTGTTCTAAATGTTTTACTATTGTATTTTGTTCCCTTGAATTGTATATTTAGAACTTTACCCTTTGCATATTTAAAAATCTTCTGTCGATGTTTGTTATGCAGGTAAATTTTTCTGTGCTAGACAGGTTCCCTCTGCACAGGATAGAACAAGGAGGAGGGTGCTGAGAGGTAAGGCAGTGTGCAAGAGCCTGGGAGTCGGGCAGGCTGGGGGTCTGAATCCCTGCTTTGCCACTTTCCTAGTTTTGTGACACTGGGCCAGGCACTAAACAGTGTCTGTTTCCTCATCTGTAAAATGAATTTAATAATTTCTACCAGTGCAGTTGCTATGAGGTTTAAACACAATCTCTGCAAACACTAGTGCCTAGTTAGCAGTTCATAAGTAGACGAAAGACACTATCACTTTGCTGCTGCTGTTTCTGTTGTGAAGTCTCTTATGCTCCTTCAATGCTATCGGGATATATTCTCTATGGCACGTTCAATGTCTGTATACAGTGTAGGGATACATCATAGGATACAGAGTGAGAAATTCTGGAATATAATCTTCACAGACATCACTTTCATTAGTAGGGAAATTGTAGTTATTTTATCACGTAGTCGTGGGTGGATGTCGAGTTTAATATCTTTTCAAGATGAATAAGGAGAAGACAGTTAACACCTATTCTTAGGTTGCAATTTTTAAAGCACTTTTTTTTAAATTGAAGTATAGTTGATTTACAATATTGTGTTAGTTTCAGGTGTACAACAAAGTGATTCAATTATATATTTTTTTCATATTATTTCCCATTATAGGTTATTACAAGCTATTGAATATAGTTCCCTGTGCTATACAGTAAATCCTTGTTGTTTACCTGTTATTATGTAAAGTAGTGTGTATCTGTTAATCCCAAACTCCTAATTTATCCCTCCCCTCTTTTCTTCCCTTTGTAACCATAAATCTATGAGTCTGTTTCTGTTTTGTGTATAAATTCATTTGTATTATATTTTAGATTCCACGTATAAGTGATATCATAAGACATTTGTCTCTGTCTGGCTTCCTTCCCTTAGTATGATAATCTCTAGGTCCATCCATGTTGCTGCAAATGGCATTATTTCATTCTTTTTTATGGCTGAGTAATATTCCATTGTATATATGTACCACATCTTCTGTATCCATTCATCTGTCGGTGGGCACACGCGTTGCTTCCACGTCTTGGCAATTGCAAATAGAAAAGCACTTTCTTTTAACAAACTAATACACAGAATTTTTATTGCAAAGGCAAGAAGAATGATTTAAGTTCCTAACAGTTGAGTTTAGAAAGTTGAAGATAATAAAACTTTGCTTTTACTTGCCTTTACAGATTCATGTTCTGTCATGAAATTAATATAAAAGGACTTCGAGAAAAATACATACCTCACATGCACATGGTTTTAAGTTTTGAAATTTGCATCATTTTTTGTACTACTCTTCCAAATTTATTGTGATTCCCTATTTTCCGAAGTGAGGCCCAAGACTTGAAAGTAACCTGGGATTGATTCTCTGCCTGGTGAGGGTAGATGGCCCAGCAAAGAAGAACAGCTCGCCTGGCCCCCGGGGCAGGGAGAGCGGAGGGAACCGCTGACAGGCACCACTCCCGTGTTGCAGGCGTGGGACTGGGTGCCTTTCTGTTCCCTTTGCTCCGTGTTTCCAGTAAACCCCAGGGTTGGGCGTTAGCCTGGTTACTGCGTGACAGGTAGAGTCGCTCTGCGGTGACCCGGTGAGAGTTACAGGTACTTAGGTTGCTTAGTTTTGCCTGTGCCGCCGGAGATGACCCGGTGCGTGGCGGGTTTGGTGCGCCCCGCCCTGCGCACAGCCCCACACGCCTTTCACCGTGGGCGCTGTTCGTCTTGGTCGTCCGTCCTCCTTCCCGATGAGCGCACGTGGCCTGGGATGCGCTCCCCCGCCCTCCCATGCTGACCGCGGCGCCTTGTCTCTCCCTCCCGCAGCGAGGAAGGAGGGCCGCTACCGGGAGCCGCCGCCCACCCCGCCGGGATACGTGGGCATCCCCATCACCGACTTCCCCGACGCCCACCCGCACCCCGCCCGGAAGCCGCCGGACTACACCGTGGCGCTGCAGCGGTCCAGGATGCTGGCCCGGCCGGCCGAGACCCCCGCCCCGGGCGGCGCCAGGCCCGCCCCGCGGCCGCAGTGGCACCGGCCCGGCGACGACCCGCGCCCCGGCCCCTGCGCGCCCCCGGGCCTTGCCACCGAGGAGGACGGTACATGCGCTCCCCCCAGAGGCCCTGCTTCCCGCCCGGGGTTCCACGCCCGCCCCAGGCCTTGGTGCCAGCCGTTGGGTTGCGTTTTGCTCTTTCCGAAGTGGCTGGAGAAATAACTAAGGATTGCGGAGGGGTCCCCTGTAATACCGTGTGGGCATGGGTGCATTTCCCTCCTAATCCTCGGTTTTCTGGGGAAATGCTATGAGTCCCAGATGAAAGTGTGGTGGAAAAACCCACTTCTCTAGAGCTCTTTTGCCTTCTCTGTACGAGTCCAGCTGGCCGTGCTGGGGTGAGGTTGAAGAAGGGGGAGACCATGCCCCCCTCCTTCCTCCTGCTTTTAAGGTTTGAGTTTAACATGTTTTATTCTGGAAATAATCATTATAGGAAGAAGCAAAACACAATTCATGAAAACTACATGTAATCCTGCCACTTGCAGATAACTTCCATTAGCATTTTGTTAAATATCCTTCTAGACTTTTTTATATGTATACACGTGTACATTACTTAAGAAGTCATGTGTTGTTTTATAACTTTTTTCAATGAATTTATCATTCATGAGTTTCCAGTCAGTATATATACAATGTATTTTTATAGTGGGTATGTATATTTAAAGATGTGCATCCCATATACTTTATTTTAAACTTTTTTTTTATAAATTTATTTGTTTTATTTATTTATTTTTGGCTGCGTTGGGTCTTTGTTGCGGCACACAGGCTTTCTCCAGTTGCTGCGAGCGGGGGCTACTCTTCGTTGCGGTGCGCGGGCTTCTCATTGCGGTGGTTTCTCTTGTTGCAGAGCACGGGCTCTAGGCGTGTGGGCTTCAGTAGTCGTGGCTCGCGGGCTCAGCAGTTGGGGTGCACGGGCTCTAGAGCGCAGGCTCAGTAGTTGTGGCGCACGAGCTCAGTAGTTGTGGCTCATGGGCTCTAGAGCGCAGGCTCAGTAGTTGTGGCGCACGAGCTCAGTAGTTGTGGCCCGTGGGCTCTAGAGCTCAGGCTCAGTAGTTGTGGCTCGTGGGCTCTAGAGCGCAGGCTCAGTAGTTGTGGTGCACGGGCTCAGTAGTTGTGGCTCGTGGGCTCTAGAGCTCAGGCTCAGTAGTTGTGGCACATGGGCTTAGTTGCTCCGCGGCACACGGAATCTTCCCGGACCAGGGCTCGAACCTGTGTCCCCTGCATTGGTAGGTGGATTCTTAACCATTGCGCCACCAGGGAAGCCCCTTAAACTTTTTTACTATGATTAATCATTAGGCAGAAAAACAGTTGAGGATCTTAGGTGACCTATACTAAGAGAACATAGCTGTGGTATTTTTAGTTAGCACGTCGGTGAACACGTTCTCTCTAAGCACAAGACAACGACTTGCTCGCTTATTGATTTTTCTTTTGTTTCTTCCTTTCTTTCGTGGTTGCGTCGGCAGAAGACGAACAAGTGTCTGCGGTTTGAGGCACGGGCTCCTCTGCACCCGTGTTGGCCACCCACAGGAGAGCACAAGAAGACGTCCCCTAGCGTCAGAGCCTTGGAGCTCACACTCTGAGGATGGTGGACCCGTTTGCCTCCTTCCCTGCCTTAAAAGCAGCATGGGGCTCCTTCCCTCCTCCTTCCCGTCCCCTTTGCATGTGAAATACTGTGAAGAAGCCGCCCCGGCACTTTCCGCCTTGTTGCTTGAATGCACAGTGCAGCGTCTGCAAGCTCCTGTGGCCGCCTGCCACGTCACACAGCATCATTCCAGACTCCAAGGTCATCACCACCCATGAGTCACGCTGGCTGCACTTCTCCACGCCTGGAAGGAGTTTTTAAAAAAATCTTCCTTTTAGATTTCAATCCAGTCCTAGCACTTGGTTTCATTGGAATCGGGAGAAAAGCCAGCCATGGAACTGCTTGGGGTCTTTAACCCACCAAGGAAGACAAAGGAAAACAATGAAATCCTTTGAGTACAAATGCTTGTCCGCTTGTTTACAGTGCCCTCCTCCGTTTTTTGGGGTTTTTTTTTTTTCTTTTCTTTTAAATGAGTTTAATGATTGTGTTCAGAGAGTAAATATTATATCCATTTAATGATTTTACAGTATTATTTTGAACCTTTAAGTAGGGTTGCCAGCCGGGGTTTCTCAAAAACCAAATATGCCGGACAGGGTGTGGTCACACCGGGGAGAGGGAAGGCCGGCCCACAGCCCCGCTTCCTGTGTCCCGCCGCGCCTGGGAAGCGCCCTATCCTGGAAGCGTAAGATGTTAGCCAATTACCTAGACCCCAAGGCCCCCGGCCCCTCCTTCCCCAGGGGCTGGGGCTCTTCTTTACAACTGTTTGCACATGGCCGGGGAGGGAACTGGGACTCTTGCGTCCTGTGTCTGAGCCTGTGGAGCACAGGGCAGTGTCACCCGAGGGCGTGTCCTGCTCCATCGAGACAGACGGCAAACCCCATGTTTTTTTAAATTATGTTTCTTTGATTTCTGTTTATTTGGCTTTAGGGATTCTCTTGCTTGTTTTCAAAGAGCCACGTTTATAACTGGATAGCATTGCAGTGAAAGCAGCTCGGGGTGTTGGCGCTAAGGCCAGCTATTCATACTGCTCTTCCAAGACAGCCTCCCCGTATCGATCAGTCGCCACGAGGGAATAAACAAGCCTCTGACGTGAAGATGATCAAAAGATCCAGAACCCAGCGCGGTCCGCCAGCCTTTGTTTGCAAGGCGGGTTGGTCGCCGAAGACTGACCCGTAAGTGGCTTTACGGACGCCGAGACGGAGAAGGCCTGAGTGTAGCAACCACGTGTTCACAGCTGCTATTAACCCCAGAAGGACTGAGATGACCCCTCCAGTCTATTTTTGTGTTGTTTTTGCACAGACTCCGGAAAAGTGAAGGCTGCCAATCCGAGTAGTACTCAGATGTGAGGAACTGCTGGTCTGGGATTTTTTTTCCATTAAATTCAGCTGATCATATTGATCAGTAGATAAACGTAAATAGCTTCCAATTTTAAAAGTCAAATTGCAGTGTTTTTTCACTGTATCAAAGCAATGTCAGTGCTTTATTTAATAATTCTCTCCTGTATCATGGCATTTGTCTACCTGCTTATATATGACATTATCAATGATGCATTTGTAATTTTACATGTAAGATGCGTTATTTGCCAGTTTTCTCCTCTAGGCCGTGGACCTCACGTGCATCTAGAAAGACAGAACTCTTGCTCTACACAAGTCGCACAAATGTTATCTAAGCATTAAGTCACCGTAGAACATAGGACTGTAACCTCAGTTCGCTCTGTGATGTCAAGTGCAGAATGTACAATTAACTGGTGATTTCCTCATACTTTTGATACTACTTGTACCTGTATGTCTTTTAGAAAGACATTGGTGGAGTCTGTATCCCTTTTGTATTTTTAATACAATAATTGTACATATTGGTTATATTTTTGTTGAAAATGGTAGAAATGTACTATGTTTATGCTTCTACGTCCAGTTTGTACAAGCTGGAAAATAAATAAATATAACATAATGCCTTGCCTATATTCTTAATGACTCGTGCATGCTTTTTCTTACTGAAGCGTAAGAAAGCCCTTGGATCTCACTGCAGGCGCGAGTCCACAGGGCACTGAGGGTAGACCGACGATGCGCCTAAAACTGCGCAAATAGCCTGTTCTTTTAGGTAGCTTTCTGTTGATTCAGAGAAAAGAAATTGATATCATTCATGTTAACAGAAATTAATATCACTCATGTGTCCAGAATTCATAGTGTTTGAGATTCAGTGAGAAGTTACGATATCACTATGTATCTATCAAATACGTAGCATGTGTCTCTGCCCAATTCTTTTCCAATAAAAATCTCTGTGGGACATAATATTTTTGATTCCCAATATACATTCAAGTTCATGGCCGCTAAGTTAAGAGTACAATCTAGCAAGTGATTTGGAACTTGTACATCAAATATCATTGTTCTGTCTACGAGTCCTAATGCGTGATAGGTCTGAATAATATTTTGGTCTATGAGAAGGGCACTTACATTTAAAAAGGTGAGAATCAGTTAAGTGGCAACCCTGTCGAGCACATTCTGAAATCAAGGATTATTTCTTATCCTCAAGCAGGCGTTAATAAGAGTCCCGTCCATCACCCACCCGGAAGCCACAGAAGGCGGAGTGGCAAGGCTGTGGAAACACGAGCACGAAATGTGAGGAAATGTGAAGGCATCTAGAAGGATGGCAGGCGTTCAGTCCTGATGCTAAAGGGAAAATGGCCAAACTTAAAACTCTTCCTGAGGCATTTGTGCTACCTTGGTGAGTAAATTTTGATAATCTGGCCACCAAAACAGTTTGGAGAATGAAAACCATTCCTGAAGCTTCAGCTGTACCTGTTCAGAAGGCAGGTGCCCCGTGTGGACACATGTGTTCCCACGTGTCTGCCTCTATCATCTGTTCACTATAAAACCCTTCACTCAGGGAAGCCCTATCACAACAGCAGCCCGTGCTCTCCTTAAATTTCTGTCATTGAAAAAGCTTGTTTTTGTTTTGTTTTGTTTTTGGCTGAGTTGGGTCTTCGTTGCTGCACACGGGTTTTCTCTAGTTGCGGTGAGAGGGGGCTACTCTTTGTTGAGGTGCACGGGCGTCTCATTGCAGTGGCTTCTTGTTGCGGAGCACGGGCTCTAGGCGCGCGGGCTTCAGTAGTTGTGACTCGCGGGCTCAGTGGTGGTTCGCGGGCTCTAGAGCGCAGGCTCAGTAGCTGTGGTACACGGGCTTAGCCACTCCGCGGCATGTGGGATCCTCCCAGACCCGGGCTCGAACCCGTGTCCCCTGCATTGGCAGGCGGATTCTCAACCACTGCACCACCAGGGAAGCCCTCTCTAGTGTGTTTTGAAAAATATTAAAGATCTGATGTTTTGAGGAATTACCTCTTCATCACTTTTTGTATTCTGCTAAAAATAAAGGAAAATGACAAATCAGACATGATGCCTGTTCTTCCGCGGTTATGTTTTAGGTTACCTTTAAGTAGCAAAGACTCCACTCCAGGTTTGTAAGAAGTATGTGTTCATCAGATGTGATCAGTGGTAGTGACAGAGTTTACTCTGTGTCATGTTAATAACAGACGTTTGCCACGTTGTAGGAATATTGCAGAAAGCCCTCCTCTCTAATCAAAAAGACTATAAACGGACCTGGTTCTGTTTTCATACATGCAGGTTAAAGCCCTCCAAATACTTTCCTCAGCTTTAACTCCTTCCCTCTTCTGGGAGGTGTAGAGCTCATGCTCATCTGTACTTTAATATATTTGATCACCAAGCCACTGATAATCTCTCAAAATGTCCTCAAAGGATGCAGGCTGCTGAAAAGGTGTGTATCAACACACCTGGTAGGTCTGTGTGCTGATGTATTTCTCAAGGAATGTGTTTCTCACTTCTGTTCGTGCCGAAGAAAAAGAGGAAGCTCTCTGAGTCCTTGATCCCCTGTTCCTCAAAGAATAAAGGAAGTGTAGCACTGAGGGGGTCAAGCTGTTGATTGGAGAAGCGAATGATCTTGCAAATACTCACAAAGATTGTCAGCCCGTGGAGGCTGAAAGGGGCAGTAATGGAATGTAAATGAGTAGGACAGGCTGCAGCCAGGGGCCAGGACCCTTCAGAAAGATCTTACAGTGAACGAGGGTTTACCCAGTTGACAGGGAGACAAAAACACTGACTGGAACGAAACAATAATTTGTGAATTGCACGTTTTTCCACATTCATATCTCAGCCAAGGACAAGGCAAGTGCAATAAGACTCCTGCCTATGTTTTGAAATGATACTTGCCCAGTTAATTTTTACAGAGCCATGGCCACGTAACAGGGACATGTATAGAAGCGATCAAAACATTGCATGCAAGGTTAAAGAATCTTAGAAGAGGCTTTATTTTATGGGCACTCAGTACGATCCTAACCATTTTCATTATGGGAAAAATTAAGCATAGAATATAGTATCTGAAGTAAATTTACAAACGACCAGTTTTTATAGAAGAGAAAAACTAGTGAACTAAGTTCACCGTAGGGTATTCGACACTTCAAAAGTCAAGGCTAGTTCCTTTTTTTTTTTTTTTTCTGTAGCTAGTTTAATAAAATTTAGGAACTTTTCATAATATTAACTCTGACCAAGTGGTTGACATGCGGTGTGGTCTGATGGGAACCAATGAAGTAAAAGTATATCCCAGTATTTGAGGTTTTCCTTAATTTATATAGATGGGAACCTTTTTTTCAAACAAGACTGTAAAACTGATTTAGCCACGTGTAGCATGAAGATGAAAGTACGTCCAAACCTACCAGGTGTGGTTTAATGAGCTCATTTCACTCGTGTGCACTTCCTGTGATCCAGGCACTTTTCTGGATGCCAGATACTTACAGATATCACTAAAGTGAACCAAAGTGCCTTCCAATTATAGCCTTCTTTTGGCTGAAGGTCCCCCATTTCTCAGACCTGAGAGGGGAAAACTTAACTGAGGGATCCCAGGATCATAAATGAGTACCTTACCAAGCAGCCTTGATCACAGCTAGATCGAAGATATGAGATGCCTGGCCCACAAGCTGCCAGTCCAGGCTTGCTAGCCGTCTAGAAGAAGGTCCTAGAAAGGAGCACAGTGACCGGTAGGGAAAGGAAACCAAACTGAACTCATCACATTCTCTTTGGGGAATTTCTGTGCGAAGGTGAAAAAGAGCAAAGGCTCACCCAGTCAGGATGCAGAAGCTGTGCGACGAGAGAAGTGATGAGAGTGCAAGAAGCATGAGTAAGAAGAGAGGGGGGCCACGAGGCCGGGAGAGTGAGGGGTCGACGGCAGGGGCATTCAAAGCCGAGAACAGCAGACACCTGCTTCTTGGGGAACAACCAAGTGCTGGGGCATCGTTGCCCCAGCACGAATGTGCAGCCTCAGAACCTGTCCTCGCAGCTGGGCTCTCTGGGCTGTTGTTCCTGAAACCCGAATGGAGAGCCATTCCTCTCCTGTAAGCACTGTCCTCAGCATCTAGAACAGTGCCTGGGATAGTGTTAAAGGTTTTAGTAAATGAGCGTCTTATCGGGGCCGCTAGAGGGCCCAGTTATAGATAGATTGGACAGTCAAAATCAGCCAACATGCATTCATGTATTTGTTATTAAAGCACTTATATTTTAGACAGTGTTTTGGTTCACAGCAAATTTGAGTGGAAAGTACAGAGTCCCATATACCCCTCCCCTCCCTCACTCTTGACATCGCCCACCAGAGTGGTACATTTATTACAATGGATAACGCAACCTTGACCCGTCCTTATCACCCACATTCTACAGTTGACGTTAGGTTCGCTCTTGGTGGTGTACATTCTACAACATGCACTTATTGAAGGGCGTCTATAACTGTGCCCGGTACTGGTGAATATTCAGAAGTCAACTAACTTGAACATATTTCTATTTTCTTTATTGAGGTATAGCGGACAAATAAATGACTCTCGACAAGGCTAGCAAGGATTTACGATTAACCAAAAGGGAGCAAAGAATAAAAGACTGTCTAGGAGCTAAATTCTGTGTGGCTGAAGATGAATGGAAGATGGACAGAGGCTGAGTTATCCAGGGGAGAGTCTTTGGCTGCCCCTGAGGTCTCCGCGATGCCTGGACGTCGAGGAGACACGCCTAACTAGACAGGCTTCGGGATTTGGAGACACTGAGAAATTGGTTGGAATGAGCAAGGGAGTGTGCTATTACGTAGGACAAAAATGTTTTACAGAGATTGTATTTGTTGTTTTAGGGGCTTGATAAATGTTCATAAAAAGGAAAAAGGAAAGAGCAGAAGAAAGGATCTGTGCTGAGATAATGGTCTGGAGGGAAGATCTGATTCAGCTGGAGTACAAGTCGCAAAGCTGGGTGAGGAGAAGGGGGTCACCCAGGCCGGGAGGCATGGGGTCGGGACGGGAGGGATGAACAAAGACGGCTCAAGGGAAATATAAATCAGTAGAACCTGATGTCCAACGGGACGTGAGAAATTAAAGGTAAAATCAAGCCCCTCCCCCGGCATCGAAAAAAAATGACTTTTAAGAGACTTAAAATTCCTAATCAGAGTGCGTAAAGTGGAAGAAGCTACATTGACAAAGATGGAGACATTGCAGAAAATGATGCTGATTTTTATGTTCATCTGTCGACGGACATTTAGGTTGCTTCCGTGTCTTGGCTGTTGTAAATAGTGCTGCAGTGAACATCGGGTGCATGTATCCATTTGCACCATGGGATATTACTCAGCCATAAAAGAGAATGAAATGATGCCGTTTGCAGCCACATGGATGGACCTAGAGATGATCATACCAAGTGAAGTAAGTCAGAAAGAGAAAGACAAATACCATATGCTATTGCTTATATATGTGGAATCTAAAAAAAATGATACAGATGAACTTATCTACAAAACAGAAACAGACTCACAGATGTGGAAACTCACAGTTAAAAAAGGGGAAACGGGGGGCAGAGGTAGAGTGGTGGAGGAAAAAATCAGGAGTTTGATGAACATACACTGCTATATTCCAAATAGATAGCCAATAAGGACCTA